CAAATCATCTCACATCTTCAGCAAGAACAGCGTGACTTGTTCTGCTTATTTGTCTCAAAAGCAGAAAAGAAAATGAAGGATAATAATGGTATGAACTTTAGCAGGCTAAAAATGAGTTTTATTTTTGAAAGGAGAATTCAGCAATTGAAGGGAAAGTGAATCTTTTTTCTTTTTCTTTTAGAAGTTTAAAATAGTAGCTGTTAGAAACTTTCCTATGATTTGGATTGTGAACTTGTTTCTAGGGAAAATGGATTAAAGAGTGAGGGCAGGAAAGCTGTGAAAGTCTTGTGATGCATCTACTTATTACAGGAATAATTCCCTCTAGAGGAGTGTGGATTTTTACACTTACATGACTGCAAACAAAGCTTGCACATGGGTTTAGCAGATTAGTAATGGATTGATCTTTAGAGTTTTAAGTGCACTGGGTCTGGTTTTATAAGGCATTTTAAGCAAATGCTTAACCTCAAACTTCTCAGAAGCCTTGGTGGCATAGTGACAACTGCTCTTTTGTTTCTAGGATTAAGATTGGTACTGGTAAACCTGCATTGTCTTCCCATCCAGTGTTTTACAATTAATCCCTAAACTGAAAACACATGCGAAGTCTAACTGTTTAATTGAGGATAACTTTTCCTGATGAAAAAGAGCCTTCTTTGGAAAATGGAAAAGCTTGTAAGCTATGTTAATCCAGTATTGACTTTGATGATACAAATTTAGTCCAGAACTACCAGATTCTCCAAATACTCTTGCAGTTGCTGTTGAATCAGATAATTGCTTTTCTTTTCATTTTTTTAAGCAGAGACATTGCTGTGCCTGATGAAATAGTTGCTGGATTCTATCCCAGGGGAGGCTGCTCGTCTCATGGGGAGAAACTACCAGGTCTTGCACTCTCCAGCCCTCCTGGTGTTTCTCCATCTCTCAGACCTCCCAGCAGCCCTTCCCTCCATGTTAGGGGCTCTCTCCACCCCATCTTATAATGTGCTGCTTTCCCATATCCAGTGTTTGGGCATCTTCCCTCTCCATTTATCTCTAGCCCTGCCTTCTGTCATCATTACTCCATTCTTTTTTTGATCCATTTCATCTCCTCTCTTCCTTCTCGTCCTTCTCTGAGAGTAAAATCATGCCAAGCATCAACTTTGTACCTTTGGGAAAGAGGACAGAGCAGAGGAGAGATGAAAGAATGCATTGCGTGGCCATTGCCCACCAGTCCCTGATCTTTACACCGCCGCAGGAGGTGCCAGGGCTGCTGCTCAGAGAAAGAGATACCGTGGCCGCTCTGCATTGTCATTTCTCCAACTCTCATCTTTCCCTCTACTGTGACTGAGGACAGTGACTTCGTCTCTTCATAGCTAAAATGTGTTCTGGTATTGCAGGTGTTACAGAGAAGTTACGACATTTCAAACAGCAACCTGATGTTGGGTTGTACACCATGCTTTCTGTTTTCATTATACTACAGGAGGTCTGTTTTTAAGCAAATTTTACAAAATACTTATGGTGACTGCCAGTAAAGACATCTTTGTGTTTGGTTTTGTGGGAGAACAGCCTCCAGTTCTCTTCAAAGTTCTAATCATTTCTTCTCCATTTCTATTGGCAATGTGCAGCTATGGCCTGAATACTCCAAGGGCTTCTATTTTAAAACCAAGAACAACATGCTAAACAAGAAAGGTTGTTTGTGGTGTTTTGTGTTTTTTTTTTGTTTTTGTTTTTGTTTTGAGAAATGTGAACAGAGTTTAACAGCAAAGGTGTCTTAGCAAGATGTTGTGCCTAATGACTAACACTCTGCTTTAACACCTCATCAGTTTTCACAGCATGGTAAAGATATTTTCATTGTAGTGTGAAACCAGTGCTTACTTACCTCTTCACGCAGTATTTTGTTTTAGTTAATTTGTGTCTGGTTGCATTGTCTAGAAATAGCAAGAGGTTCAGTGGCTGGGGCACTGGTGTGTTGCTTGGGAGGCAGGGAACTGAGTCTTGAGTCTTGCACTCTGATGAGGACATTTGTGTGAGCCCCAGCAGGGACGGAGGGCACCTTTGCACATCAGCTGCCTTTTTGTAAAGGGGAATGAATATCCCTTTCTTACATCAGAGACACATGCTGTGTTGATAAATGTCTTTTGTATTACAAAATGTAGATACTGTACTTGTGGAGGCTTGGTGTGAGAAACACTCTGTAGCCAATAACTTAGGCTCAGGCGAGGATCTCAGTGAAGTAGTAATTTATTCGCGATTGCAATGACGGGCGCCCCACAAGCAGGAGAGAGCGCATCTACTAGTTCCAAAACACAGTTTATATACCTTTTGATGGCAGGACCCTCCCCTGTTTCCCCACTGAGTGGGTAATCCAGGTTCACAATCTATCTGATGCTTCACAAACAATGCATAGTCTTCAGTTGCCGGCCTGTTAAATTTCAAATTTCTTTTGACATTTTTACTGCTTGAAGTGGTAATGTTTCTTCACTTATCTGACTTGACTTGACACCGTGATTTTCACCTAATTGTCCTAAGGAGACTGGTTGTCTGCATTTTACTAGGTCGCCTGCTAAACTTTCTTATCACTGTAAGCATATCTCAGTACCACATTCCCTCCTTCTAAACAATGTAACTCTGCAAAAACAACATTTCTATTCCCACATTGGTAAGAGCCTGAGAGATACTGGAGGACTTAACCTGAGAATAGAGCTACAGAACAACAAAACTATGAGTGTGTTTGTTGTTTGGGTTTTTTTGTGCATCCAAGTGAAATCACAGGATTTACAGCATAATGTCCTAGCTGAGCAGCTAGTGAGTTCATTTTGGAAGCTCTTTGACTTGTTTCATCTTAATTTGAACTATTACGAAACTGAAATTCTATGGCATGAGCTAAATTCTGTTAGAGGTCAGGATAAAAACAGGGAAAACTCAGAAGCATAGAGTATTTCTGCTGTGGTTTGGTTTCTGGATGGTCAGAAAGACTTACTGGTAAATAATTCAGATATGGAGTATCATTATATTATGAGTTATTGGTACAAATTACTACGGAACATCCTTTCTTAGTATGCCGTAGCTCTCGTAATTTAAGGGAAGATGTGGTCATCTTGTGAAAGTTACACATGGATGCTTGAGAGACATGTTTGCTGCTACACAGTGAAAAGCTGCCTGACACAGCCTTGCTTCCTGAGGACATTGCTAAGGTGAGCTCAGACACTTTGTACCTCCTACTGTTTGCACCCAATCTTTAACTGGTGCTGGTGAGCATTTTGTTCTTCCAGTTTCAGACAAAGGAGTTTTTCCCACCACCCAGACTGAAACACAAAACATAGAAAAGGTGGTTTATCCAGGAGGTCTCCTGAGGCATGCTCTGCAATGTGGGGAGACAAACTGCTTGGAAGAGACACTTGGAGCAGAAGCCTGAGGCTTGCTGCTCATATACTGGTGTGGCCTCTCTTGGCAGGCTGGTGCCGCAGCCTCACTGGGGCACCACAGTCCCTGGCCTTTTTTCTTTTCATCACACGTTGAGAGGGAAAACAAGGCTCCTTGAAGCTGGTGGGAGTCTCAGCGCTGATCATGCTGGATTTCAGGACAGCTTTTCAGGCTACTCCAAGGGATTCATGCAATGATGGGAACAATAATTTCTTTCTTGAGCTGAGATCTGAATATAGCATTCATCACAAAGTACTTTGAGACTGCTTTGAATATGGATAAAGGAGAATCCTTCTCCCTGCTCGAGAGCATTGAAGTTATTGTCAAGAAAGTTGCTGATTCCTGTGGACTCTGATAGCATTAGCATGTATTTTTGCTTCTCCTTTGCCTCAGGTAGCTTTATAAAGAGATGTGTTTAGAGTGCAGACATTCACCCATACCAAGTAAAATGTACCTGATATAAAAGGATGTATCTTACTGTGTGTTTAAAAAAAAAAATCATTTTACTTGCAAGAAGCATAATGCACATTTGGTGGATTGTAAGTTGATTCTTCTTTTCACTTTGTGTGTCTCAGGGTATTTGTCTCTCTGCAAGTGTAGTTTCGTGTGGCATACCACTGAACATGAATTTTGTTAACAAATGCTGCATGTGCAATAGATGAATTCCCCAGAACTGGGTCACCAGAAGGTTCTTCCCTTCTCATCTTTAAGCCCCCGAACAACTCTTGTTCTGAACTGTGGTCATGTATCCTGCGTTGATGGTTTATTTGATTTGTAACCGTTTGGGAACTGCGAAATACTTCAAATCTGTTCTTTAACAGAGCAGACAAATAGTACTCTGTAAGTGTATTGATAACACTGAATGACATGTAATAGTTGTCCTTCTTAAAGGCAGAATCATGAGCTGAAACTCTTGGTTGTGTTAATATTGCGATAAGTTTTTAGCTGGTTATTTGCCATCTTAAAAGAAAAAAGTCTGATTTGCTTTCTGCCTACTAATTCAGTGAAGAAAACTGATTTTGTTTTGAGTTAAAAAAGGATAGTTTTGTCTTGATAAATTCCTTTAAAGTATTAACAGTAAGGCTTCTGAGGCATTTTTATGTGGCTCAGTGATTTTAAGCCTGTGGCTTTACAGACCTTTGATAGTCCACAGACTACAAAAAACAAGGATGTTGACAGTAGGCTTAAATTCTCCATATATCATTGTTCCACTTGAAAATCATAAGGATCCACAGATGAGAAAAGCTTAAGGGTCGTTATTACAACACAGTTGCTTATCAGTCTTGTCTGTGTTAGTGTTACTGTTAAGTGTTTGGCATTGGAAATTATCTGTGGCTGTCACTTGAAGCTGATGAATTTTACTACATGGAAAACTATGGTTGTTGGAACCTGGGATGATGGTAATCAGGATAACCCTTTTGACTTAAATTTACCCTGCCAGTGGGATATTTCTGGCTCTTAATACTGTATTTTAAATGTCCTTACTGAAAAGCTAAGTGTTACGGTATTAGATTAGTTTCTGGCATGGAATGATTTGAAAGCAGTACTGAAGAATGATACTTATCATAAGATAGCTGACAATATAAATTTGCTGTCTTTTTCAGACTAATGGACACCTATCTGGGAATGGAGATGTATACCAAGAAAGGCTGGCTCGTCTGGAAAATGATAAGGAATCTCTTGTTCTGCAAGTGAGTCATCACCTAAATTATTTTTTTCTGCCCTTGCATTTGTAACACTTTTTGGTTTTATGCAATTAAACCTCTGAGGATTTCTTCCCTGTTATATTGTCTTGAACAGTAGATGGAGGGCTTGCTGATATGTGAGAGTTAACCCAGATTTGGGTGTGACTTTAGATTGCAGTAAAAATCTAAATGCCTTACTTTCTTTGTATCTGATCTAGTTTTGGATCTTGTTAGCTGAGCAAATCATCAAAGCCACTATCTTACATTCATACATATCTGTAAAATCACCTTTTATTTTTAACTGTTCACATGCTGTTTGTGTCAGGTGACATGTCTTGTCATGCATTGTTCTCATGCAAAGTGACAAAAGCTGCAGGACTGGCCAATGGGCAGGAGGAGGTGAGCAGCTCCTTGGAGGTTCTGATCTGCTGCTGCCAGGCTGCACTGTCCTGGGACCATAGATCTCCTCCGAGCTCAGCCCTGGGCACCCTGACCAGCTGGGTTACTCCTGCCATCAGTGTTGGGACTATCTGGCACCTCTCTGCCTGCACTGGCGTGCTGCAGTCCCCTGCCGTGGACCTGACCTGAGGGCTACCTGTGGTAGCATCAAGCTCTGCTCCAGTCAGCTTGTCTTGCTACCCAGTGGTGCTGCAGATTTCCTCAAAAGAGTCTGTTTAAAACATAACCTTTATTCAGAAGAGGTGTGAAAAGAAGAAGCCATACACTGTGTACACTGTGCAATCACTTGAAAAGCAGAATAACTGGCTGTTTGGTTGTTAAGTCAGGAGTAACAGGCAAAGACATAATTGTTTGTCATAAAATGCAGCAGCCATCCCTTGTCCCCTGAATTGCAAAGTGTCTGCTGGAAAATTGGCTGGAATTCCCTTAAGTGTGAGAGGAAAGCCCTCCCATCAGGTTTGCTGTACACTGTGCTCACTGTAGAACTCTTCTGCACCATCTCCTCCCATGGTCCCATTTCATCTGTAGCCCAACTGGTGCCGTTACTCACATACGGTTTTTCAGGTGACACATACTGTATGGGTGTGAGGTACTTATATGCATCCCTTTATCTCCTCTGTACAGGTAAGTGTGCTTACGGATCAGGTGGAGGCCCAGGGAGAAAAGATTCGGGATCTGGAGTTCTGTTTGGAAGAACACAGAGAGAAACTGAATGCCACAGAAGAGATGCTGCAGCAGGTATTTCACAGTCACTTTTCTGTCTCGCTGTCTGTCTTTGTTCCTTCTTAATAAACTGCATTTTGCTTCCATGAGAGCAAAATTTAGTTCAAGGTATTGTATCCCTTGATGTCACTTAGGTAAGTGATAATTTTCTACCATATTTGCTTTAAAGTCTTTGTACTTGGTAATGTCAGTGCTGCTTTACACTGTAGGAATCCAGTCCTGCTCTCCTTTGAGCATTTCCCCACTGAACTTCAAAGAGACTTGAATAAAAGCCTCTGGCAGGATGGGTGGATTCCCCTCAAAGCTCCTTGCTGCCCAGGGCAACTGTGATGACAGACAAGCTTTTTTTCTCAGCCTGGCAGCCAACCTGTGATAATGCCCCAATGATCTCAGCTGCATCCTAGCTGCCTGGGTCTGTCGGATGGTTAATTGCTGTGTCCAGTGCTTCAGAGAGTGCAAGGAGTATGATGGTTTGTTCTCTGAAAGAGGCCTTTAGCTGTAGAAATAAAATACCAATTTCTTCCTCTTCAGATGAATATTTCTGATCTGTTCCTCTTTATCTCGAATCAGGAGCTTTTGAGCAGAACATCCCTTGAAACTCAGAAGCTGGATCTTATGGCAGAGATATCCAATCTGAAGTTGAAACTTACATCTGTAGAGAAGGATAGAGTGGACTATGAGGATAGATTCAGAGACACAGAGGTGAGTAAAAACCAACAGAATAAATTGTGAAAGTCATGTGTGTGGTTTCACATTATCTGAAAATTTGGGAAACATCTGGGAATGTTCCTTCTCTTATCTTTCTTTCTTCCCTTCTTTTTTTATTTTTTTATTATTTTTTTTTTTTTTGCCAGACAAGGAAGGAATTCATCTTCAAGTTTAAAACATTTCTCTCTTAAAATAAAAACAGTGTCCTCTTTGCCTTGGTAAATTCTAGTTTGACAAAGAAAGATTTCCAAAACCAGTTTTTGATTCTTTCCATCAGGTTTAAGGCAGGTGGCATTTAGGTTTCAGTAAGAGAGAATGAGGTGGATCTGTGATGGCTTGGCTTTTTGAAGTCTCACTTCAGACCTCAGCTCCACAGAAGGGGGCTACAGGTAGGCAAACCCATTTGTTTCCCAAAACTCCAAGAATTAGACTGTGCTTCACCGCGAGGGTGACATACCCTGTGTCAGAAATATCTTGGAGTCTGCCTGGGAAGCAGAAGAAAATTTCCTATTCTGAGTTCATAAATGATCTGAGACATCTGATGTTCATATTGTGGATGTTCCAAATGTCATTCATTTCTAGAAGGGAAGAAGCCATAATGTCATCACAGGAGACAACACTTGACACTTCCACTTTGATCAGTGGTCTTTCAACTCCTATTCAGATTCCTATATGTTAGGCAATGAAGTTTAATTCCTTCACTTGTATTGCAAGGAAAAGAGTAAAAGTTAGGCTTGCTTTTACATACTTACTGTCAAAAGTAATCCACAAACCCAAAGATGAACACCAGTGACTCAAATTATGTTTGGATTTGAAAGGTGGTGATCATTTATGTAGTGATGGTGGTGTCCATTTCTGCAGTGTAGCACATCAGGCTGCTGCCAAGCCATGGCTTAAATTTGTGTTGAGCCATTACATCCCATTACCTTTTCCTCTTAGTGTGATACTAGATCTTATGTGAAGGATGATCACAGCACTGCCTTAGAAGTGGCTGATTTTGCAGTCCAGGCAAGTGACATGCAATGTCACAGATGCCTTGCAGTGCCAGATGGATTGGCAGAGTGAAAGGTGGAGTGAATCAGTGAAGGTGTTCTGATTCTGTAGGTGTGGGGATCACAACATGTACTACAAATTTGCAGGCTCCGTGTAAGAGGCTTACCTGCGTGGTAGCTATGAACAATTGCTGTTTGAAATATGCTTTATGTCTTTGATAAAAATATGATAACCTAAATTATGTTTAAAAGGTAATTACTATATTTGAGGGCCATATAGATTTATTTGCTGGAAGTTTATGCCAGGCCTAATGAACTATTACTAAAACATTCTTCTATACCTTTGCAAACCTGAACAGTGTAGTTCAGTGTAACAGAAATTATAGCTATAAAAGGCCTAAATATTGAAAGGGATAATATGCCTAATTGCCATTTTGTTCAGTGGGAAAATACTTGGCTGTTAATTCTCAGCTGTAATTAGATGTAAGAGTCTCAGACTCATGAGATTTCATGTAAAATCTCTGATCGGTATTTTGGAGGTAGTATTTATTCAGATATACTTGATATTATACTCAGTATTGATCTAATTATATTCCTAAAAAGTTATAGAGAATAATCAGTTTATTTCAGCAGAGTTGATTAAATATTTTAAATATTCTACCCTAAAATACATTGTGGAATTTCCATGCTGTTTTCAAAACAAAAAAATCATACCCAAACTGGGAAAGAAAAATTGCTAATGTTGGTTCTGTTTTTATTTGGAGAAAAGAACATGGAAAGGAAAAAAATGTTAATGTTGTTGACATATGAAACCAACTTTTGTGCAGCTGCTCTCTTCCACAGAATTATCATTCATACTAAATCTTTCCTATTATCCAGTTTTTAATTACGTCTGTTATTGCAACTTCCCCTTCTAGCTTGGTTGGTTTCTCATATTCACCATTCTTTCTCTAAAACAATGCTTAAGTAGATCTGTAAGCTTTTTTTCCTTTGTGCTCTAGGAGTTTCCTGTCTGGATGCTTACAAATACTGAGCTTTTTCAAAGCTAATTGTATAATTAATCTGTTCTTTAATTCATTCCAGTCTTTCCACTTTCTCAGCAGACACCAGGGTTATTTTCCTTAAGGAGCACGGGTGGTCTGAGCTGGGCTGGGTTTATGTAAGAAAATATCATACTAGGGAGTTTGTTTAGGGAGGAGTCCATAACCAGACGTGGTCTTTGAAGCAGCCGCCAGAGGTTAAACTGGCTCACTCGTGGGGAATTCTTTGTAACTTAAACACCACCAGGCTCCTTTGGGCAGATGAATTTCTCAGTGGAGAAAAACCATGAATGTAGTTTACATTTCCAGTACCAATAAGGAAGCTTCTGACCCTCAAAGCTTAAAGTTGTCATTGCTTTTTTGTGCCTCTTTGGCCACACAATCAAGAGCACAAGTAACATGAGCAGGGAAGGAAAATATTTTAGGAAACAGGAGTTTGTATGTCCCTGCCTCATCAGCTCCATTAGTGGATCTCTGTAAGGAAGAGCTGTTGGGTGTTTGCATGGAGGGACCTGACTCTGTATCAGAAGAGGACCATTTAATTGCTCTTTACCATTTTCCATGTTTTTAAGTAATGCAGTAGCAGCGGAGGCAGAGCTCTTAGGGTCTTCTCTTTTTCCTCTGCTTATTTATACGAGGTCTGACCCATCTCTTCTGTATTGACAAGAATCTCTCTGTGGAACCTGGTTGGTTTTTAAAATGCTTCTCTGCCTCACAAAGCTGAGAAATAATGGTATTTACAATTACTGTGTTGTAGATAACTTAAGACATGAGAGACATCTCTTGTTGCACTTGCAGGAGAGTAATTGAAAATATTTGTAGTGCAAAGCATGCTGTTAGGTCTCCTCTTTATTTCTATCTAGCCCCTGAGCAAATTGTACTGTCATTTTGATGAGCAGTTGGACCCATTACACATGAGGCCCTTAACAGGTTAAAAAGAGGAATTTGGTTTCAATTCCAATATCTTACACTCTTGGTTTTGTAATATTACTGTTTCCTGTTATATTTTGTGTACATCTTGACACTTCCATCAATACGGGTTGCACTAACTTTTTTTCACAAAAGGATAATATTTTTTTCATTGATTTTTGCCTCATAGCAGCCTTTTGAATATTGATAACTGGTTTCCTTCTCCTCCTCCAGTGTTTTAAAATACATGTAGTTCAAGTGATAAATATGTAGGCAACAACTTCAGCAGAAAGATAGGAGAGGGATTGGCTGCAGGAGACAAAAGTCCAAAACAAATCCATTGTCATAGCTTCAAAGCTAACTCTTGGACTTGTGGATGTAAATTTGTTAGAGGTCTTTAACACTTGGTGTTGGTGAAGAAAAGTTCAATTAATAGTGACATCCATGTGTAGTTATACTTAAGAGTGATGTGCTTTGTAAAGGTCACACACTGCAAAATCAGTGAGGAATTGCAGGTGTATCCAAATCAGAGTTGTACATTAGCAGTAATAATAGTTATTACTATCATCAAAATGTTCTATGTTTTCCTTGTAGTTCTGGTAATTGAGCTTGGATCTTGCTAAAGAAATACAGATGCTGCTCTGTTGCCATCAGATCCATCAAGCACATAAAATGATAACCAGGGTTTTGCAAGCTGAGAAAATGTGGAATGGAGCTGGAAGGCAGGTGTTACGAGGAACCCATGAATATTCTCCAAATGTCAGCCTCTGGCTTGTTCCAGTGCTCGCAGATGTTAGCTCAATGTACAGCACCACTTCACATGGATAGGATTTGCCTTTCTGTGTAGGAAGACAAGCAAACCTAAGTACCACACTACCCTCTTGGTAGTGTAAAAGCCATTAAGCTGCAGTTTGAGTTCTGTTTTCTAGGGTGCCCAAAGTGCTTATCCTCTCTTTCGATGTGTTCCCTAGTGATAGGGCATTACAGTTGTCAGGAAAGGCTAATTTTTTATTATGTAAAACATGCAAATGTAACAGTTTTCTGGTGTATGTTCATAAACTAAAGATCAGTGAGTTATATGTGAAGTAGAAGCACACTGGACATCTTTAAGCTCTGTGAAAGCCACAGCTTTCTGGTAATGTGCTCCCCTTCTGAACAAGGAGATGATTTTCCCAATAAGCTGTGGTTCCTCGTCTCATATTGGGGGGGACAATGTCCTGGCCGTCACACAGGCTTCTGACAGGTCTGGAGCTGGCTGCTTAACATCCCATTTCTTGATCTGGAGGATGGGGTAGTTCGGAGAAAGAGTGCCTTGCACCTTGCCGGGGCACAAACTTAGGGTTTGTTTAACTACTGCAGGAAGGGAGCTGTGGTGCTGCTGGCACTTGGATTGAACATCCAGACCTGGAAGGTCTCTCCAGGAGGATGCACAGGAGGTTGAACTGTTCCCCTGAAGAGCTCAGGTGCAAGTCCGTGGTGTCTCTGAGTTTCTTCTAAACCAGGTTGAACTTGCAAACTTCAATAGTGGCGCCATTGATGCTTAAACAAATGTGCTTTGGTGCTTAGAGAAACAAGCGATGGTGCTTTTATTCAGTGTGTGGAAGGTCTCATGAGTGACAGAGATGTGGATTCCCACTGTAATCTCTTCATATTTTTAAAAGGCAGTTGAGTAGCTGGATGGGCAGGAGGCCTTTCTTTATCCCAAGCTCAGGTAACACAACTTCAATTTCTTTCTTTCTTTTTCCTCTGCCTGATTTTATCCAGTGCAGTAATGGAGAACTGAGAAATAAGGCCCCTGAATATCCAGAAAGTTCTGAATTCCTTGACTTAACTGTGAATTTGGGTGATGTGTTTGTGTGTATAGAGTTCCTTTTATTGCTGCTGAGTTCTTATGGTCCCACCAAGGTGTGCCTGGTCAACTATGACTCTGTTTACTGATTTATTTTCTTGCTTTTGTTTCTGTTTTTCCCTCAGGATTTGATCCAGGAAATAAATGAATTGCGACTAAGAGTGGGAGAGATGGACAATGAAAGATTCCAGTATGAGAAGAAGCTTAAAACAACCAAAGTATGTGAAAATGAGGAAAAGAAACAGTAATAGGCACAACTCACAGGTTTTAGAACTTCTTTCTCTTCTCCCCAGTCCTTGCCTGCACCCTGAAAAATTCTGAGCATGCTCAGGAGTTCAACGATGCTCACTTAACAACTAGAACAAAGCCTAGAAAGGGGTTATTTCTGAATTTTGTGTTGTAGTTTTCAGATCCAGACATTGCGTTTTATGAAGGGTAACTCACCATGCAGCTGGTTGTTAACAGTAAATCATAGAACATCCAAGTTGGAAGGAACCCATGAGGTTTATCGAGTCCAACTCCTGGTTTCCCAAGGGATCACCAAAAAAAAAAAAAATCAGATAATATATTACCTGTTTAGACCCTTCTTTCATGCATGTGTCAAGAAATACCAGTTGCAGTACATAAGACATGCCATGGGTGAGACCAAAGCTGAGCATTTATTTTCTCCTAAATGTGCTGAAAATCAGCTACTTCTGAAGAGAAAGTATTCCCCTAAGTAATTCTAGCAGTCCGTTTCTGTAAGTGTCTGACTTCTCTTTGCCATTTAGCTTGTCTCTTTTCTGTCTTTAGTTTTCTCTTACTCCTCTATCTCTGTTACCAGTCTTTAATGGCCAAACTTTCTAGCATGAAAATCAAAGTGGGTCAGATGCAGTATGAAAAGCAGCGGATGGAGCAAAAATGCCAGATGCTAAAGGTGTAGTAGTTTCTGGGTAACATTTGGCCTGTTTTGAATTCTTTGTTTCACCGTTTTACACTTTGTCTTGCATTGTGTTGTTGTGCTTTGTTCTTCATTAATTCTTGTGTGTTGATATGCAGTGCTTCCTTTCTCATTAGATCAGAAAGCTCTTTATGTAGATAGACATTACAAATATATAAATATATACACTAAAATCCTCTCCCATCCAATATAAAATATAAAATATAAAATATATTGGATGGGAGAGGATTTTAGTGTATAAACTTTGCATAAGGTATTCATAATTGAATTAGGCTTGAGTTCATTTTTGTTCCAAGGGAAGACTGCCTCTTTTGTAGTTTACACCCATTACTCAAATGGAATTTTTCTCACCTTTTTAGAGAATGTTTATTCATGAAAACTAGCTAGAGAGCAGTGATTCTTTCACACTGGGCCACATGTCTGGGCCATAGTATGGGGGCACAGGTATCATTTCTATGCATATTTGCCATAGATCTTTTGAGGGAAGCTCAGGAAAACATTTAAGCCATAGTATTCTAGTTTGGTTTATTCCTTTAAGTATTTATCACTTCAGTTAGAAGCTATAAATGCCAAAATTAGGGGTCTTGCCTTGTTTTGTTTACAAACTGAACAAATTAAATTTTTAGTGTTGGGTCCTGTCTTGATGATGATGTTGCACAAGATATTCTCGGACTTCAAAGGAATATCTTATTAAACTGCATAGGATTTGACTCAAATTTTAAAACTTAAATGCATGGACCTGTGCCAGTCAGTTGCTGGTGCAGATGGTTAGATCTAAGTTACAGTTTGACAGCATTTACCTAATACACCCCAACTCCCTCAAACACCATCCGTCTTATTCCCATGAATCTCAACTCTTAAGTTTCCTTTCCTAATACTTGGTCAGCAAACCAAAAGTATGGCAGAGGTACCATGTTTTTGTCTGAACTGCTTTTCAGCATCTGTTTTTGTGCTTAATGGTGTTGTGACCAATTTTTTGTTCATAGAAGCAGTGATTATTTCTGAAACTGTCCTCAGCCTGTTGTAAGCACAGTTCTGTAACTATCCGGCTTTGAACGTGCAAAATGCTTTATAAATATAAAAATAAATGTTTGTAGCATTTTGTAGCTAATGTTTGTAGCATAAATTTTACCACTCAGCCTTATCACCTGCAATTTTTCTATCAGTGCAAGGCTAAATAAAAAAGAATTTTTTTGTTTTACTTTTTTAAATTTAGATGTAAAATCTCTTTTCAAATTATGCATAAGACTGATGCTTTTGTCTGTAAGTCTCCTGCTTTTGCCTCCTTCAGGACTCAATAATCTGTTGCAGTGCTCAGTGGCAGAGTTTGATGGGTGTCCCTTTACCCAGTGTAAATGTCAGGGAGTGCTTGGTCACTTTCACTGGCTGAGGACCTGTCCGCTGTGCTTCATAGAAGTAAATTTTGAAAGCATCTCAGATGTGTATGGTAACTGTCACTGAGTGATTCTGTGTCTGTTACAGGATGAACTAGCAGCTTTGAAAGAGAAACTGGAGCAGAAGGAAGCTGAGGTAAAAAGATTGCAAGAAAAATTGGTTTGTAAGCTGAAAGGAGAAGGAATTGAAGTACTGGACAGAGGTAAGACCAAGGGAGGCTTTCTTAGGATGGTGTAGAGGCACCCATCCTCCTCAGTCACTTTATCTGAGGTAGTACTTCTGTGAGTGGTTGAACTGAAATAACAGATAAAAACAATTTTCATGCTCTTTCTGCCTTTGGTTTTAGTACTATTACCATATTTAGTGACTATTCACAATGCAACTGCTGAACCTACCATCAGAATAGTTCTGGATCAACATTAAACTGCCTTAGGTAATCCCTAGTTAGTTCTTCGTATGGCTTGTATGGTGTCTGAAAGATAAAGTTTATATTGGCAAATAAATCCCTAAACAAATTTCAACTAGGTCCCCAAAAAGGTTATATTGAGAAGTTCCCTTCTCAATGTATTCGTCAAAGTGTGGGTATCTGTGCTGGGCTTTGCTTATATACCTCTTACTATTAAGGGGGGGAAAAAGCCATAATGCAAACCGAAGTAGGATGTGCAAATCTTCAGTGTGTCCCCAGCCCTAAACAGATGAAATTAAGGATTGGTTTTGGTTTTATGCACTGGTTAATTCTAAATCCTAATTAAACCTGAATTCACAAAGAAATGTTATGTGTCAGATACTTCTAGTTGCTTTCAAAAAAAAAATTAGTATTTATTTGGGGGAAATTTAAGTTTGGGAACTTCATTTAAAAATAGAAAATTTACTTTAAAGCCTCAAAACTTTTTCCATGGACTTACTGAAATTTCACTTCTGAATGTATCTCATTGATAGTTACCACAGATTTTAGAATTGTACTTTTAAAGTATGCTTTTTAGAAAGCCACAAGAGGTTAATTAGTCTCTTCCCCTAACCTGAGGCAGAAACAGCTGTGTGTAGATTGTCAAATTTTATTTAATAAAATTATCTGATTTTAAAGCTACTGTATAAAAGCATTGAAAGTGACCACATCAAAATGTGATTTCTTTCAGAACATTTAAATGTAGAAAAAGGTCTGGCTTTATTGCATTTATTACTACCTAAATGGCACTTTTCTTCCTTGGGGGCTGCTTTATACATTGAACTGCTATTACCCTTTGATTCTTACCTTTAGTTTCGTTCTCTGTATGGCTCATCAGGGGATCTTCTTCCCCAGTAAACTATGTTTTTTCTGCCTCAGAACAATACTATATAATAATGCAGATAACACCGGTTATCAGCCCCATTACATGAATTGTGCTTTTTGAACGCATATTCATACATTATCACCTAGCTGGGTTTTGCATAGCATTAGCTTAAGTGTAAGCTACTGGCATAAGCCTTTTCTGAGACCTTACAAGTGAAAACCTATAGTAAAATAAATAAATTGGCTGGATAGCTGTGCCCAAAGAGTCATGGTATATGGAGTCAAGTCCAGTTGGAGGCCAGTCACCTGTGGCGTTCCCCAGGGCTTGGTGCTGGGGCTGGTCCTCTTTAATATCTTTATTGATGATCTGGACGAGGGCATTGAGTGCACCCTCAGTAAGTTTGCAGATGACACCAAGTTAGGTGTGTGTGTCGATCTGCTCGAGGGCTCGAAAGCTCTGCAGGAGGATCTGGATAGGCTGCACCGATGGGCTGAGGTCAACTGCATGAAGTTCAACAAGGCCAAGTGCCGGGTCCTCCACCTCGGGTGCAATAACCCCAAGCAGAGCTACAGGCTAGGAGATGAGTGGTTGGAGAGCTGCCAGACAGAGAAGGACCTGGGAGTGATGGTTGATAGTTGGCTGAATATGAGCCAGCAGTGTGCTCAGGTGGCCAAGAAGACCAACGGCATCCTGGCTTGCATAAGAAACAGTGTGACCAGCAGGGCTAGGGAGGTGATCATCCCCCTGTACTCTGTTCTGGTGAGGCCACACCTCGAGTGCTGTGTTCAGTTTTGGGCCCCTCACTACAAGAAGGACATCGAGGTGCTTGAGCGGGTCCAGAGAAGGGCGACGAAGCTGGTGAGGGGCCTGGAGAACAAGTCCTACGAGGAGCGGCTGAAGGAGCTGGGCTTGTTCAGCCTGGAGAAAAGGAGGCTCAGGGGCGACCTTATTGCTCTTTACAGATACCTTAAAGGAGGCTGTAGCGAGGTGGGGGTTGGCCTGTTCTCCCATGTGCCTGGTGACAGGACGAGGGGGAATGGGCTAAAGTTGTGCCAGGGGAGTTTTCGGTTAGATGTTAGGAAGAACTTCTTTACCAAAAGGGTTGTTAGGCACTGGAACAGGCTGCCCAGGGAAGTGGTGGAGTCACCATCCCTGGAAGTCTTTAAAAGACGTTTAGATGTAGAGCTCAGGGATATGGTTTAGCGGAGAACTTGTTAGTGTTAGGTCAGAGGTTGGACACGTTGATCTTGAGGTCTCTTCCAACCTAGAAATTCTGTGATTCTGTGAAATAAATAAATCCTTGAGATAGGTAAATACAGGTGAGAGCAGCGAGACTGTTTGAGTCATTAGGAACATCAGCAATGGGGGAGTGCAGGGTAAAATTTTGAACTGCTTGCTTCTGCAATAGTGTGTAATAGTTTGCTCCTTTATGTAGCAATATTTTGTTAAAAGTTATTTAATGTCATAACCTTCATGTTAATTTTACATCCAATGGACTTTCCTGCACAGATGAAAATTGTAAAAAGAAGCTGAAAGATAAAAGTAAGGTTTCTGGTGTCTTTCCACATGCATTTGTATTTCAGAAGTGCTTACCAGAAGAGCTTTCTGCATGTATATATAAAACTGCTTTAACACACACCGTTAGGTTGCGTCATCTATAACCCTTAGTTACACTTAAGGTAAATTTTGAGAATAAGGATGGATATATCAAACTTGAAATACGTTCTCTGAAAAAAAGCTAATAAATGAAGATTTAGTCTCACTGAGACACAAAATTTCACTTGAAAGCAGAGTGCATAGATTTTTCTCCATAAAATGTACCCACAAATAAAATAGTTGCCTGTCAGTGAAATGAAGCTACAATCCAGTAGGCCAGATTTTCTATTAGCATAACTCAGTGAAAATTTCTGGAGCTGTACCAGTTACAGTTTTACTCAATATGTCTAAATGTCTCTTATCTAGAAAGTCAGGCAGCTTGTTTTGTTCTTGCATTTCGTTAAGGAGGAAAACGATCTTCCCACTGCATTTTTGTTGTTGTTTTTTTGTTTGTTTGTTTGTTTGTTTGTTTTTTTCCAGAAGGATTTTAGGAAGTTCAAGTAAAATGTTTTCTTGCCTGTAAATTTGGCTACCTTCCTATAATTGTAAAGAAATTTAAAGTTTCCTTCATTTATGTAAAGTAGATTTTTAGCAAAATTTGAGATTATTTCCATTCATCTTACATTTATGTTGTCCAGAACACCTCCAAAATCAAACCTCATAGATCAATAGAACATGTTTCCATGTATTTCTATTACTTTGTAAATAAGGATTATAGATGAAGTGCGGAACCATGATCTCTGTATCAGGGACCTTTTCCAAGTATGAACTACAGTATGTATTCTAGCATGACTGCTTGTCACAACAAATACTTGCATCATTCCGTTGTGTTGGCCTCATTTTTACATCCATACTGAATTATAACTAAACACCACTGCACAATGCTTTCTTCATGATTTCCATTAATCCTATTGCTTTGTATAGTGGGTTTTTGAGATGCCATGTGGGGTGTTTATTGACTGTAGTAATGAGGATGTATTTTTATTGCATTCCAGTAGTAATATTTTGTATTTTTGGACCTTTTGTTTCGCAATTATTTGATTATATGAGAGAGAGAGAGAGAGAGTGATAGTCAAGCACTAGTTTTACTCATGACTCAGTTTTCCTGAAGTTGAGGGGGTGGATAATTTTGTGAATTTGGTCATTTCCTTGGTTTAAAAAAATATTAGAAAAAAGATTTTGCAGAAAATGGCTCTGTATATTTTCATCTAACATAGAATTTAAGTGTCTTGTGTTATGTCTTTTAATTTGTGAATTTACCTTCAGATACTATTAAGTCAATTCTAGGGTATTTTTATTTTCCTTATTTCCTTACACTATCTTACTTAATTTGACTTAGGTAACTGTATTGTGTTTTTAGATATAGAGGTACAGAAAATGAAGAAGGCGGTAGAATCCCTTATGGCAGCAAATGAAGAGAAGGTAGCGAAGTCATTTTTTCCCTCTATAATCATTCATCAAAGTGAGTTAAATCTCTTAGGAAAATCTGTATACATGTTGCAATTCAATACAAAATCAAATTTGTAAGAATCAAGTATTCACTATAGTCAGAAGCACTGCTGTACCTTTTAAATGGAAAGATGCTGGGCATTTATGAGCTCTGTCCCATGTCCTCACAAATCAGTGTCATTAAATTCAGTGGGACTGCATTCTACACCATGTTTTGAAATGTAAAGAGCTCCAACGCAAGTCCCAGGATATAAATAGAGGCCACATTTCCAAAGGACATTCTGTAAAGTATGGTTCGTTTTCATGTATGGTTTTGCATATTTACATGCATGTACATTTAATAGGATGTTTTCTTTTGATCACCAGAGTCCTAAATCTTTTGATTACTGCTTCCTTTGTAAATGACACATGCATTATACTTGACCTTTGACTTAAAGAGGGAGCTGAAATCCAGTTTCAAGGCTGGGACAATTCTGTTGATTAACCAGATAATAGCTTTTGCTAAATATAAGTATTTGATATTTCAAAGCCTCAAAGAATTCTGGGTCCTGTCCCATCCATACTTCTAGTCACACAGCCAATTAAATTGAATAATATCAAGTATTCATATTTATTATTTTTTATTTACGAAAGGAAAAAGATCAATCACAATTTTCCTTAATTTAAGGATCGGAAGATAGAAGAGCTTCGACAGTCTCTGAATAGGTACAAGAAAGTTCAAGACATGGTGATACTGGCTCAAGGTAAAAAAGGTATTGTACAGTTTAAGAAGTTTTAAACTCTGTTCCCATTTAAACTGTAGGTGCATTGTGATAGTGTTACATTTTGACTCTTAGACTTACGATCTTTGAAGGTATCTCTTAGGTATAATAAAACAGTATACCAGAGCAAACTGTTAAATTTCCTTTTCTGTCTGTGCTGCTGCACATTTGGGTGCATCCGGTAGTAGTGACTACTGTTGTCAGTTGCTTATTTCCCCAGTGTAAAGTTAGCTTGAATGTGATGAGTTCTCACATTCTTTCCATTGCCTCTTGAAATGCCTTTCTTGATTAGGTACTACATTAACTGCTAAATATCGCAATTCCCTTCACTTGCAAGTGTTCCGTGGGAGGGGTTGGAAGCTGAGAAGAGCAGACCCTAAGCATGCATGTTCCTTCCAGCCAAACAAGCACTGCCACAGCAGTTGCACACACTTATAGCAATGCCCAAGAGCTGCAAAAATACCTGTAGCAAAGTGGACATGCTACCAAGGCTGTGTTGTAATGGCACACAATGTCTTTGGCATGTAATGGAATCCCCACAAACCACCATATGCAGCAGCTATGGAATAGTTCTTCCTTTCTGGAGTGGGGGGAAAGCTGGCTTTTCTTCATCTCTACTACTAACCTCTTCTCTCTTTGTCTCCCTGTCCACCTTCCCACACCCCTCAGATAATGAGCATAACCATGTGGCTGAAATGGTTGTTATATAATATACTTACATGTTGTAGCATGTGATGTTATGTTTCATACACTGAAAGGCTGGTGGAGCATTCCAGATCCAGGAACTTCTGATTCCCAAAGGTGATAAATGTTGAGGGTGGTGGTCATCAGTTTAATGTAACTACACAGAGTACCCTTTCTTTCCCCTTTCTCCCTTAAAAGATAAGCAAAACAAGCACATGGAGAGCATTACCCTGAAATGGTTCTGGGTTTTCAGATGAAAACACTCAGATGTTAGAAAACAAGCACTATCTTTACAGTTACAATCCAGGCCTATTTGCATTATAGCTCCTATAGGATGATTTTTTTTTCCCCACATCATACTGCTCTTCCAGTACTCAAGTCACATTTTGTAGTTCATCATCCTCTGAAAGACCTGTCTTCAACAAATTTTGGACATTAGCATTCTGCTAATGTATGTATACATAATATATGCACAACTTTAAAAGTCTGTGCGCTGTGATGTTGCATTGCTACATTTTGAAAACCTACTTTGTGTGCGAGTTCTTTGAAGGCTTACACAGCCTTTCACAGGCCTGAACTGCCCCGAGTGTGTTGCCTTCTTTAGGGCAGATGACAAGGGCTTGTGGTTTTTGTTTGTTTGTTTTTCCTCAGCTTCTCTCAGCTTAGTGTCAGGAACATAAACTGAAACTGGAAATGGCATGCTTTGAAGCATTTTGGGCTCAGGTTGCATAGGGAAGTCTTTTTGCTACCTCCTTGTTAGTAAGTGGCTCCTTCTCCCCTTGTTGTAAGGGGACAAGAGATCAGACAGTTCTCCCTGTCTGTGGGCATCAATTTTGGTATGTAAGAACCTTTCCTTCCTCAAAACCAGCACTCACGAACACTAAGAACACAACTTGAATGTCTTCATTCTGCCAAAGCTAGGATCACACAGAATCTGTGAGGGAAGAGGAAAGAGGGTCATGAGTGCAAAGCAACAAGCTTAATGTGAAAGAGGAGGAACATTTTTAAAATAGGGATTGCTTTTTCATGGAGTGCCATTCCTTCAAAGAGAGGAAGAGGGTAAAACAGACATCGAGTCTCTGGGAACTGTGGTGTATGGTTGATTCATAGAGCAATGGACAGGCAGTGAAAAATGAGCAAGAAATAGTGATATGGTTTAGTGGAGGACTTGTTAGTGTTAGGTCAGAGGTTGGACTCAATGATCTTGAGGTCTCTTCCAACCTAGAAATTCTGTGATTCTGTGAAAGATGTAAACAGACTTTGGCTTATATTTGTATCAGGTCTTTTGCAACAAGTGCTAGGCTTCTGCTTGCTTTTTAGAAAGTATCAGTTTCCTTGAACGTTCCCCTACTGGGGTCAGTACTCCGGTGTTAGTGACAAGTATGGAAATCCAGGTGTGTAATGAGGCAGTTCAGGAGCAGCAAGTCACTCTGTGGACGCAGAGGATGTCAGATGCTGATGCAGGCTACTGAGTTAACTAAATGAAACACACTCAGTTTGTGGCAGCCTGCAAACATAAAGCAGTCACTTAAAAGCTGGTGTTAAGTTCTTGTGCTGTGGACTGCATTTTTCCTATGGGTAACTTAAAGACACCACAGAGACGGGTTGTTTTTGTCTCAGGCAAACTTTGACCCATCCCCTTAGTCTTTCCCTAGTTAATATGCAAAAAGTAGTATTTAGTATGAAATCCCAGGACATGAGACAGGAAATAACTACTTCAGTTTATTGAGCTTTTTGAAATGGATCCAACTAAATGCCTTTACAGGGGGCTGGGCTTTTGCTGTCAGATGCGTGTTTCCCTTCTGCTTCAACCCTGCCACGCTGTGGCAGATGAATTAGGAAGCAGCATGTGGTACCTTCTCCTATTGGACTTTCTCCTAAAAATACATAATTCAAGCCTCTTCCAATAGCCCATAAATGAGGATACTGGCTGCACCTTGCATAGGAATGAGAGTTATCATGTATCCAGAAGTCAAACTAACAAATTTCCCGTCTTCTCTCCCTGCAGGCAAGGAAAGTGACAGTGAAGACTTCTTGCATTCAGGATCAGTTTCTACAGTTTTATTGGACACACCAACTCTGACTGACCCAGAGAAAAGTCCATCCCCAACTCCTGTAACAGCATCTCCAATCCATGATGAGTTTAACATGAATATTCAAGAAGAGGTATCTCTTTTTTCATTTTTTAATTCCTTTACTCCTTGAAAATATTGCCTGTTCTGGACTCATGTTAGAGACATCAAAACTCGAGATTCTGAAAATATTTTTTTCAGGGTCTCAGTTTTAGTAATCTTTCCTAACCTTTTGGACAAGGTGGATTTCTTGTGAAACCTGCTGAGGAGTTTCATTGGAATCCAGCTGAATTTATTTTCCTTAATCAGATGGGATCAGGAAATAGCAAATAGCTGTATTTGTCATGATAATGGGTCTTAACTATTTTTCATATCAAACATGTCTGTTTTTGGAGCTGAATTTCATTGTTCAGGAACTGGAAGTTAACATGCTGGGACTCATTTAATATACCCTATCATATTTAAAATGATGCAATCATCAATGTATGAATGGTAATCATGTAATGATTGTAATCATCATTACATGATTGAATTCAGTGAAATAACTAGGTTATTGTCAAATCTCTTATTTTTTTATAATCACATTTTTCAGTAATAAATCTACAGATCTCTTCTCTTAAAACTCTGAATCAAAGAAGGGATTTGATAGACATAACTAAACAGCATGATAGACAAAACTAAACAGCATGAACACACGCTGAAGAAAAGATGTTCAGCAGCTTTCTGGTATTCTTTGAGTGGCCTGAGGACAGGCATGAACCTGAAAAATTAACTACTCTTCTTGGAGTCTGTGGTAGAGAGAGATTTAGCTGGCAGCCTGTGGTGGCTTTTAAGGTTTTTGTCTACGCCATAGCTTATCAGTGCAGCAATTCATGCTTTATCTTCCAGTGACATTTTTCAAGTAGTAAATCACCACTGTCTTTAAAACATACATATATATAATTTATTTCCTTTTTTTATAATTTTAATTTGGAGCCTTTTTATAGTTTATCTATCACATTTACCATTTATGACTGCTTAATTTGAGCTCATTTCAGTTTGAGATATTCTTCTTTCTTTTTAGAATTCCTTACAGATCCACACAAGTGTTTTACAGATTTCAATCCCATCTTTTTCATCAACGTCCAAGAGTTCAGAAATTGTTGCAGAAAAAGTGAAAACACAGCCTAGGTCAGATCCCGCAAGTGATTTGAGGTATTATTGTTTTCATGTATTTTTCAATTGTAAATCCAGTATTCTGTGATGTTTAATGAAAGTAATAATCTGCCAATGACGTCAAGTTATTAAGTTCATTAAATGAGACTAACGTTCACTTGACTAGCTATCACAAACTAATCATGTATTTGCAAACTGTTGATTAAATATTTTTCAGTAAGTAAGCATTGATTTGGTGGTTGTTGCTTGTAGCAGCACTTACACTCTATTATCAGTTGTATCGCAATAAATGAACAGGAGAGAAAAACTGACCTAATGTAATTAAGGACACCGAATTTTTATTTTTATATAGTTTTACATCACCTAGGTCTGTTCTGAGATAGTGTTGGCTGTGCTAACGAATTTGTTCCTGATGATTTGCATTCAGGCATTTTCCACAGTTGCTAAAGATTGGTGTAAGGCACCACACAAACTGCCACAAAAGGGCTGTCCAACACTGACCTTGAGCTGTTAACAGTGCCTCAAAAGGAAACCACAAGAAGTGTTTCAAGAGATTAGAGAAGGAGATATCCTTGGTGTGCCATGCTTTGACATGATGAAATGCAGATATTTCTTCAGTTGTTCTTATGAGAACTGTGCCTGAGATTTTCCAATACCAGACTAAGCATGTAGATCCAGAAATTCAGAGAAGCCAGAGCAGGGGGTGCATGGCTGCACCCTAGGGCTGTGGCTGAAATGTGGCTCCTGTGCCCCAGACTGCAGCCTCCTGGGTGAGAGAGAACCTCATGCAGCTCTAGCCATTGCTGCAGATATTTATATCCTGCCTCTTAAAAACAAAATAAACAAACAACAACAACAAAACAGCAAAGCACCAACCAACAACAAAACTCCCAGCACTGTGGGTAAGTCACAGGGAGCCAGTCATCTCTGCTACTTGGTGTTGCAATGCTACACTATGCGTGCTGTAACCTCTGCTGCAGTACTGTAGTATTGTAGTTAACTTACAGTATGAGTTTTCTTTCCTGGGGCACTTGAGCTCAACTTCGTCTTTTAGAAGACTTGACAACTGTAGAGGAGAATATTTGGCATGTGCTAGTGTGGTAACAGCTGACGTGAAAATAAATAAAAGCAGGCTGAGATTTTAGGATTTGTATATTAGCAAGGTGTTTGCACGGAAAACTTAAATACGTTATTTTTTTCATATCTTTAATTTTTACAGTGAAGGAAGATCAACTGGTTCCTCCCCAGGAACTCAGCTGTGTGACGGTCCAGCGTAAGTATCAAAAATATTTGGGAAACATATGTGACTGTTGACTCAAAAACCCTAACCAATCCCTCCATATTTTACAGACACATGCAAATATGCCAAGTAATTCCAGCCAAGATGTAGCGGTGGTGGTTTTCTGTTCATGGCCGTTATTTTCCAATGCTTTACCTGTGCACACGTGCTAACAATTTCTTTTATATTATGAAGCATCTCTAATTGAGTCATAGACCATTGATAGACACTGAAATTAACAGTTTTCTGTAGTACAAGTGCCTCTGGTTTGCTTTTGTTCTTTTGATAGTGGGGAAAAGGTACTCAGCAGACTACAATGAAAACGTAATTTTAACCTGTCACATAACCTTATTGCTCAGGAAAACCAGTGGTACTATTTATGAGCTCAAGGTTGAGTCAAAGCAATTTGTTAACGATGTGTCCAAGTCAACGGGGCTTGTTTGGTCCATTGCATAATGCTCAATGGCTGTTTATATTTTGTGTGATGTAGTGCCATGAGACTATTCCCAAAGCCCTCATGCTGGTATAATGATAGGTAACATTGTAAAATGCAGTGAAGTTACTCTTTTAACTGTATGTAGGGAAGATTTAAATGGTAACTTTCTTTTCAGACTTGAGCACTCCAGCATAAGTCTCACCAGAACAGGGAGATACCTGGTCTGAAATGGAAAATGAACTGTAAATAAAATACTAAAGCATGATTGGCTTACTGTGCTTGGCTTCTGTAAGGATTAAATTAGTCAGAAGCCTCTTGCTAATAATACAGTTTCTCATAGCTTCTGTTTATATCACTTTTGCCTGTGTAACTTCTGCTTGTACCTCTGAAAATAAAACTTTAAATAAGAAGCCAAAAATATCCAAGGTAGGCATCATGTCACTGCAGCATTAGCATCAGTAATTATGATGTGGAGGTTCTTAGAATATCTCCTCAAACTGTGTGGGCTCTGATTAGTGTGTTGATTGCCTTAATTAGAAATGTCTTTGTTTTTGAGTATATCTCATCATGTATTGTAATGCTTTTCAAAAACGAACTCCTGAGAGTGTATTTATCTTAGAAAATTTAATGCCAATTACTCCGCTTGTTCTTCATGTTGTTTCAGAACTTCTTCACTGCAGAAGTCCAGCAGTCTAAGCAGTTTGAAGAAGGAGACATGTGAAGCGGTTGGTTTGAGCTCTTACTTCCATCTTTCCCTTTGAAATGGGGATGACATCTGTTATGGCACTGACCCTGCAGATGCCTTGTTTTCTTATTGTGAGAAACGCTGAGTCACAGCAAGGCTCCTCATATCATGTGTTACCAGTGGTCTCAAATGTGTGACATCTTCCAGACTTTATTAAAGGAGAAAATCTGTCCTTGCAAATGTAGTGTTTGTTTGTTTGTTTGTTTTTCTGCTTGAGGTGTTTACCAGAAAATCTCGTGCTGTGTTTTTCTTCAAATAATGAGTGGTGGTGTTTGTTTTTTTTAAACTTAAGTTGATATGCTTTTCTGATTTAAGACACACAGAAAATGTGCTACCACTTCCTTCCCGTGTTCAAGGCTAATAATTTTGGAAGGCTGTGTTCTAAAATACGGTCTGCGATGGCTCTACGTTTCAGGTGGTTGGGAACAAAATATTGAGCCATTGTGTTTCTGGTGATAGCTTCTGTTTAGGCCACTTTAGAAGAGACAAAACAGATAGACTCTGTCATCAAATCAGGGTTATTCCTGTGCGGTTTTTTTGACAGCCTAAACTGTTAAAAGCTCTTAAATTGTCTGATAGCCAAGCTGACCAAGAGCTGTGCTTTACAGCTTAAGAAGGATGTTGACAGTACTGAAAATATGACCAGAACTTGATTATGAAAGCTAGAAATTCCAGGTTGGAGGCTGTGGGGCTGGTTGGTTTGGACAGGCAAGGAGTAGAGGCTGTGGATGTTTCATCTACTTGGCTTCTACCCTGTCTGATTTCTGCTATGGGTCCTGTCACCCAGCTGTGCTCAATAGTGCCTTACAGGCTGCTTGTCACTGATTATGTACACAGCTAATCCCTTACAAAGTAAACTGAAGCAACTGTACTTTCATGTCAGCTCACTGACCTCAAAAAAAGCAAGAATTAGTCTGTGTGAAATACAGCTCCAAAGAGATAACTTTAGGGAATAAAAAAGTACAGAGAATGGGTATTTCAGTCAGTTCATCTCAGGGTGACTGTAATGAATTGGATACTGACTATAAACTGTGACTTCTAAAATGTGTTTCTTAATCTTTCCGAAACAGGACAGAGACCCTGCACAGAAGCCAACAGAGGTAATGTGTGTGTATGCTCCTGTGTGAATGCAGAGAAATGTGGACAGCAAGTAGGTGGTGAAAGGCTAGAACTTGTGAAATTGCAGCATGCAGTTCCAAAGGGAGAATGCAACAAGATAGCGAGGAGGATATGATGAATTGCCACAACCGCTTTGTATCTCACACATTCTTGTCCTCTCACACGTGAATTATCTTTTGGTCTGGTAGAGCATAAGGTTGCCATCTAAGCCAATGTTTCCCCCACATAATTCTACCACTCGATAATTAGCAAAGCTAACCATTAACTATTACACTGACTATAATTAATGTCTCTAAAAACCGTTGGGTTTCCAGATTGTTTTCTGTAACAGCTGTGTTCTTAAAGAGACTGTCATTGCAGAACAGTTACACCATGGTCTACCCTGCTATGTCAGTAGTTTGCATGCAACAGTTGCAGGAAGATCTGAGTGGAGAGAACACCTACATCAAACACCTATATCAGATACTGCTTTTAGCCCAAATGTGGTATCCATTCAGCAAAAGCCAAAGGAATGTGTTTGGATTGTGAATGAGTTTGTTTCTGCCTTTAAAGAAACAGTGAAACAGTGAAAAAGGTTAAAACTACTACTTGAAATTGGTGAACTGACGTTTCTGATTTTCTGTCCTGTCATTTTTACTCTTTGCTATGTGCTTACTCTCAGCTTGGTCAGTGGACATAATCAATTAATTAATTTCTTCTGAAATTGCGTAGCAGTGACAAGATGAAAGGGGCTATGTGGCACTTGGCAGAGAACTGATTTAGTGTGGGGGTTTTGTCTCCCTCATTGCTTCCCATTGCCCCTTCAGTGGGGGAGACAGAAACCCTGGAAAGCTGGAAAAGTTCAAAGCCTTCCAGGACTGTATTTTTATCTTTTTCATACCTGTAAGCCTTACTTGCAGAAACTGAGAAACATCTTCAAGACAACACGTTACTCTTAGAAGCTAGTGGTAGTAATCCTGGATCCCGAACATATTCAAATGAAGATCTTGTCTGTGTTCTCCTTTATGCCTTTTACCTTGTTTTCTTGTAGTAACAAAAGTAAAGGAATGACTCTTCAGGTTATCTGTCAACAGTCACTTTGTATCTTTCTAAAAGGTCCTTTGCAGTTCCCTGATACTGACTGTTTCCCTACCTTAAGCAGGTTAAACCTCCAATGGAAGGTAATAATTTTGCAACCCTCCCTCCAAAATCTCCTTCTCACGGTGTCACAGGAGATGAGGATAGTTTTGGTACCCGTAAAGCCAGATCTTCATTTGGACGAGGCTTTTTCAAGATCAAAAATAACAAGAGGACTGCAAGTGCCCCAAATCTGGGTAGGTATTGTGCACCTGCACTCAGATTCTGTGCATTTTGACAAATGTCTTAATAACAGAGAACTAGAGGTTTATTTTTTCTGGGTGCTGTAACAGTCCTAAGAAGCAGGAAAGCCAGCCTTGGTCTCACTGTGACTTGGTGGTACTGTTCTCAGTAGAATGATTGGAAAAAATGAAGCAACAGACAGAGAAAACCTCTCTGATGTAATGAAGTTAGTTGATCTGTCTTAACCTCTGCTGTGATATCTCCCCTGAGACTTTGTAATAGAATGCTGCAGTTCTGAAGTGCTGGCTGCCTGGTGGTAGTTCGCACATGAGACTTGTGGGTATTTTTTTTTCCCATGGTCCCATCCTCAGTTTATCTTTCATAAGATGTATGGAAATGAGGCAGTCTTCCTCTTTATTTTATGTGTATTTAAGTAGCCTTGCAAAGAGATTGTGACAACAAGAACAGCATTGACAAGTTATTCAAGCTCATTTTGAGTTCTAGACCTGTGATGGAAAGTGGTATTTTTTTTTGGTTTTGTCATTCGATGACATTTGGACGATGAAGAAATAAATTATTTTGCTTAATGCAGAAGTTGCTGTTACCAGTAGCTGAAATCCTACTTGCATTAGCTGCTCTGCTACAGTAGTATTTACACTGTTCCTGTTCAAGCATCAAGTGAGTCTGTGCATCAGATCTACTGCCATTTATCTAAAATGTTTTTATTTCTATTGCACAAAATTTAGGACTTTAGCTCTATCTTTCAGAAGCATAAAAGGGGATAGCTTCTTCTGTCTTGAGCAGAAGAGTCTCCTGCTTTTACTTACCAATGACAATTCTGGGTCATTTTTCAAAAGAACATGCTCACACATTTATTATGCATTGCACATAATTTACCTGTGTCATGTGGCATGGAAATTTACTAGCTTGAAGTAGATAAACAGTCTATTCTGAGGATTAGACTTTGCTTTGGTTTATTTTGTGCATGCTTTTGTGTAATCATCTGTTTCATCCTGAAATTTGTTTAACAAGATGGAGTTCTTGTGGCTGTCATAAAGGGCTGGAAGATGGGCCATCTAGAGCATGGTTCTGTGGATTTGAGTGTGTTACCCATGTTATCCAGGTTTCAGTGCTTCCATCTGTAAAACTGTTGTCCAGATACTTGCCACCCCACAGGAGCCTGCGTGAGTCACATAGCAGGTGACCTCCCTGCACTGAAGTGATGGAGGGTGCTGTTTTAACCTCTCCACCAAGGATCTTTACTGCATTTCTTTTTCTGTGAGAGAGGGATTAGCAGCAAATTGGTAATCCTAATCTCTCTGTAAATTCAATGTTGTATGTGGTGCATGTGCCTTATTGTACCTCCCTCCTTTTGTCTTGTATTTTGCTGATGTAAGTTTTGAAATGTATTTTACCTTGTCCCTCTGCGTGTTCTCTCCCCTTGTGCTGCGTGTGGTTATGTGCGTTGTTTGGATATCTGAAGATCGCAGTCGAAGTGCAAGTGCACCTACCTTAGGTATAGTAATACTGCATGTCTGCCTGTACCAGCACTGCGCTGTGACTGCTGCTAACAGCTGGTTATGGCCACACACTTTTAAAGCAAAAGCTACACGAGAGCTCTGCATCAAAACTGTACATTGTTAAAAGGAGTTTCCATGTAACATCTGCCCTCTGCTATAAGTCAGCTGTGCAATTTTTTGATAGCTGCTACTAATGAGAGATTGCGGGTTAATTTGCAGAGACCTTTGCCAAAGCTTTGAGCACAGAGTTACCTACAGACCAAGGTAGCAACTGAGAATCAGCAACATATAAACACATGGGGCACCTTTGTGCTGGTGCCCCTCTTGGACACCCCTGTATAAACTTGAAGGGTGGCAAAGCAGCGTTGGAGTGTATTTACTTCTCAGGCATTCATTTAGGGGAGCTCTGAGGGGAAGGGTATGTAAGTTATATTCTGAGACGTAGTTATATTTATTATGTAGTAAATGAATGAGAAATAATTGGGGCAGATTGAGATGGAGCTATTTATGTAGTAAAACCTGGTCTCACAATGTGAGCATTCCCTGAGTGATTCTGGCAAGGGCAGGGAGGACCTATAGAGTCTGACATTAGCAAATGGAGCTGTGTCAGCTGGGGTGGCAGCACAGCCATCGCGTGTCACCCTTGCTGACAAAGAGACACAAGTGCTCTTGGCCCTCTTGGTTTCCCATACAGCCCCATAAATGTCATCTCCTCTTAGAGGTTGTGTCAGTGGAGCAAGGTACAAGGAGCAAATATTGCAATACCCGCAAACCTCTGCTTCTAATGCATCTAGCCTTGTCCTTGATCTCTCTCTTCAGAATTATGTTTAAATGTGTTTTTGTTTTTTTTTTTTTTGTTCGTTTGTTTTTTTCTAAGCTAGCAATTTTTCTTATCCAATTAAAGCAAAGATCACTAATGCAAAAGCCTTCTTTGACACTACCGCTGTCTCTCGATGGCAGAATTCCCATATTCAATAGTGGTCAAACCGAAGTACGAAGAAATAATCTTTTATGTGACCTTGTTGCTTTACTATGAGGTTTCACTTGTAAATCACTGAAGGAAAATGGGGCATGTTCAAATGTAGTCTAGCTGAAACATCTAAAATTTTGCTCAGCAGAAAGGTATGCTGAGACCACATGTCCCAGCAGTATGTGCTCTAGTTTGAGTCATGCAACGTGTTTTCTTCTGGAAGTCTGAGAGTCCATGTCAAAAACAAACGATGGTCATCTAATTACACACCCACATGAAAATAGGGTAAAAGTGGCTGCAGGCCTGACTGTCAGCCTGCTGTAGGCTGCCTTGCTACAGCTGCTTCATCTGAGCAGGCTCGTGCTGTCACAGTTCCTCAGCAAGCAAGTGGCATAAGCTCCACATGGTTACTTTATTCAGCTATCTAGCACTTTGCTGCCACATCTCTGCTTATGTAGCCTAATAGATACTGTAATTTTGTGTAATTTCTTTTTAAATGGTCTTTAAGTAGTTTTGTTCTTTGTTAGCTTAGCTTTTACGAAACAGTCTTGTAACAACTTCACTTGTGAGTTTTGTTGTCAAAGAAAACAGCTATAGATTAAACTTCTCATGTTAATCAGAGTGCTCTATAGTTCTCTCCAAAGAGAAGATTCAGTTCAGACAGAGCCTAGACTTCATGGTATTTCTCTACAGAGGAACGAAATGCTCCAGAACTTGCATGGGGGAAGCCCTTTTTCCACCAATGACGTGAAAGGGCCCTCTTACTCCTGGGGTGTAGGAGGAATTGTTTGTTGCTGGAATTTTCTGAGTGGGGAACTGAGGAGATAACTTAGGAGATATTGCAGTTCTTTAGGAAAGATGCCCACAGGATAATATATTTATTTTTGGGGGGGGCTCTGGGGACTTCTGCTATGGCACTGATTTGTTCCTGGGCTTCTGTGAAAGGACACTCCCTGAGAAAGAGTGTATGTGGGATTTAAGTCGTTGATTAATTCACCAAATGTTTGTTGCCTACTCAACCAGCAAGGACATTGCCTTGGAGTGTTTCAGTAAGGCCCATGAATGAGGAAGACAAGCTCAATAATTTTAGATAGAGTTGTTCCAGAGTTCAGGAGTGTGTCTGTACAGTGCTGTGAAAGCAAGTCTTGATGGAACTTTGTTTTCTAATAGCTGAAACAGAAAAAGGATCTGCAGATCACTTGGATCTGGCTGGCTTGCCCCCTCGACCAAAAGAAACAGATAGTTTACAGATGACTCCGCCTTCTCCAGATTCCAAGAAAAAGGCCAGAGGAATCAAGAAGTTTTTTGGAAAGTAAGTGAAAGATGCAAAATGACTGTTCTGCAGAGCTGGATTTGCGAAGGGTTTTGCAAGGGTTCCAACCAAGCACTGGGGCTGCCCAAGCTGATGCCTTTGGGAGGAAGAAGCTGGTGGGCTTAGCAGGGGCACTGCTCTGTCTTCCGTCTTGTATGCATTTTCTGTCAAATCTGCCTTAGCTTCTCATCTTCCATTTTCCCCTCTCCAACCAGTGGCCCTGTGGTCTGTTCAAGGCAGGCTGTGGGCACGGCTGGTGTGACCGTCACAAGAGCAGGAACCAGCATGGTATTTAAGGGTTTTTTTGTTGGTTTTTTTTTTTTGGCTACTGGTGGGTTGGTGGTGGGTGCAGGAAGGGCTACAAACCCCATGGGAAATCTTGTGTGTGTTGGTTGTGCTAGTAGAAGCATTCCTTTTCTTTGGTCAAATGTTGAATATGCTTCCTTCCATTAATCTAGACTTAAAAGAAGTCAGTCTACCACCTTCAACCTAGATGACATGTCCGAGACTGAGTTCAAAAGAGGAGGGACAAGAGCAACTGCAGGGCCGCGACTGGGCTGGTCTCGAGACCTGGGGCAGTCTCACAAGTAAGATGAGTGGTGAAAAGTGTGCCAATGCTTTGTCTTCCTGGCAGCTCCAGTAGAGCACAGGGTCAAAAGGAGAATCACAGTGTCAAAAGGATACATTCCCTCCCCTGGCGAGCAGAAACAGGCAGATCCATGCTCTTTCTTCCTTTGAGAAGTGGTCTTGGCAAGGTTGAGGCTGGCTGGGTGGTGGGTGCCCAGGGGTGGGATTCTGCTGCTGAGTGAAGCTTTTCATGCAGGAGTGCATCTGTAAGGCTGCACAAAATGGATCATGAGCCCTCGTGTGGCCGTGAGAGATATTCCTCCAGTATATTTCCTGCTGCGATATTTCCTGTTTATTAAAGGCAAAAGTGAAATATTATGTTTTTTATTTAGAGTTTTAGCCACCCTAGGCAGCAAAGGTGATTGTGCCAGTAGCATTAATAGATTATGTTTATTGTAATGGTGATGCGAGATCAGTAGCAGTTAGCACTTTGTGGTGCTAACAATTCTGACGTAGAGATACACTATTCCAAGGCTTACCTAGCAGCTGATCATGATGTACGTTCTTCCCTGGAGATTGCCCCAGCTCCCACCAAATACTCATGAATGAATGGCTCAGTTGTTCTTCTTATTATTATTTTAAGTATGAAAGCAGAAGATTGAGGCATGGGATTTATCAATCTCTTTTTTTGTAAAATCTTCTGAAGTGAGCTGGACATGCCATTTGCCAAGTGGACAAAAGAGCAGGTTTGCAACTGGCTCCAGGACCAAGGACTAGGCTCTTATATAAGTAATGGCAGACAATGGATACTGTCGGGGCAAACACTTCTTCAGGCTTCTCAGCAGGATTTGGAAAAGGTGAGAAGTACTAGAAACACTACGTTTAATTAAACTTAAAAAAAAAAAAAAAAAAAGTATTAATGTAAATCATGTCTGCACTGTGAAGTGCATCTAGTCAAAATAAAAATGTAAAAATTTTTTTGTTTTCTTTTTATTTATCATCTGCAACAATGCAAAATCTGGTTCTTTGTAGGTGACATTTAGTAGAAATGTAATGTTCTGTAATGAAACTCTTAATTAGAAGTTTGTGAATTAACTTCACTAGACATGGACACCTGAATTGGCTGTGCTGCTTTTTAAAAGCATGCACTCAAGAGTGCTTCATTATCAAACAGCTTTGAAACAGGTTCATTATCATTTATTTATGGCACAGTTATTTTATGCCTGTGTGAAAAAGTTGTAAAAAGCTGCTGCTTTGGTCTGGATGTATTTTCTGCCCATTTTACACAGAGGCATACACCCTGTTACACACAGGGTGACCATTTTCTTTGTCTTAAATTATGGAATCGTTTGTCTTGTTTCCTAAAACTAAAAGCAAAAAAAAAAAAAAAAAAAGTTAGTTTAGTTTACACTTTGAATCCACGATGTTTGCTTATGTTTGAATTTTCAACTTTTAATAATTACTACCCTCAGGAAATAGTAACCCTAGGGAAGGGGGGGATTGTTTCAATTAGTAAGCTAATTCAAAGTTATACTATACTACAACTTTAGTTATACTATACTACAACTGGAATACAAGAAGTGTGATGTGGACATAGTGGTTTGTGGTATTCAGAGATAACATTAACCAGTGAGCGCTAGTAAAAGCATACATGGGATTAAATAAATCTTCGATAGCTGCACTTGCACCTCTAGACCAGGGAAGTTCTTGTGCATTTGGAAGCATAAATAAATTTCAGTAATTCCTGGGACCTTTATATGCTTTTAAATAATTAACACATTTAACTTTACCTGCCTAAGTGGGAGGGAAGGTTGTAATCACATCAAGTATTTTTCTGAATATTAACATGTTTTAAATTGTTTGATTTAAGCTGGTATGGCAATACTATGGCTTATATTTTCATATAGTTCTTTGGAACCTACGTCTCTTAATCCACTCCAGTGAGCTGGCATTTCCATAATTCCAAGCATGTGCTGAGATAGTTTTGGGATTCAGCAATGGGAAATATACCTGCCAAGTCACCATCAAGTGCTGTTTACACTGTGACTTTCTGAAACCATATTTAATTCTTAGTAGAGGGAGAAATAAAGTACAGGATTGTCGTAAGCTTTGCTGCTTTCCTTACTTTCACAGGAGCTTGGGATAAAGCACCCATTGCATCGGAAGAAGCTTCAGCTTGCTCTGCAGGCGCTTGGGTCTGAAGAGGAAAACAATCATGGAAAACTGGATTACCACTGGGTTACAAGTAAGATTTTATTGAATTCTGAAGCAGCAACTTTTTGTAGGGGTTCCTAATCATGGCAAATTTAAGGCTCAAAGAGTGATAATAGCACCAACAGACATGGTTGCTATTAATCGAGAAGAGCTTTGCTGCACTAATGTGGTTGTCTCGGTCTTAGGGTGGCTGGATGACATTGGCCTCCCCCAATATAAGACCCAGTTCGATGAAGGAAAGGTGGATGGCCGAATGCTTCATTACATGAGTATGGTGAGTAAATGTTTCTTCTTTTCCTGACATCTTTGCCATGTTCTTAGTTTTTCCTCGCTTCAAAGCACACTGGCATACCTCCAGACAGCTCACTTGAAGACCAGGTGAGGCTAGAGAGACCTGCTTTCAACCTGCCATCATTGTGACTGCATAGATATTAGATTCACTTAACACTTGAACCTCTTTCCCTCAGCCCTCCCACAGGAGTGTGCACCAGCCAAATCCTTGCTGTCCCCATAAGCATCCCATTTATGGGGCACTGGAGGGCATCTGTGGCTGCTTGGGCAGCTCTGGCAACACAGACATCTGTTCTCAGATCCTGCTGGGGAGAGCAGGACCAGATAGACGTCTTACAGGGTCTGGTGTCCATGAGGAGTCAGGTCATGGCAGTCTGGTTTGCAGCTTCGTAGAGCAGAAAGTTGACAGGTCTGGAGGCCAGCAGACCATCTGCACATTACTCTGGGTCTATGTTCAAAGTTTTAAAGAGAAACTTAGAAGTACTGTGAGGTCACCATCTGCACATTTGAGTTTTGCCCCAGATGACAAAATCTATTGAAAGTAAGCTAAAGATGGAGCTTACACTTGCTCTTGCAACATTGCAGAGGCTACACATATACTCATGTTGTGTACCAAAAGCAGAGTTCATTCCAACACCTACGCATCTCATATGTCTCGTGAGATGTCAGTATTTTCAAAGCTGTTGAACAGGTCAGAAATTGGGCCTGCAAATTTTCTGCATAATTGCAGAGAGAAAGTGAGAGTGTCAGAAGCTAATGCTAAAAAGATATTCTGGGATGCCATATTTGCACATGCTGTATCGCAGAATTTAACGGACTGCTTGAAACTGTAGTGGGTGTCCTGTGTTAATGCTAATAGCTGCAACCTGTAGAAAACAGAAGCCCTGATAGTACAGCTCACCTGCAAGTATTTCCTATAGTCTTTCCAGCTTTAAAGACACTATCTTAAAGTGAAAGAGCAAACAAAGTAAGCAAGAGCCCAGAATCATACTTGAGTAATGGGCAATCTTGCACTTAATTGTCTGTGATGTTGTCTGATGTGCTCAGGCAGTATGTGTAAGTACACAAAAGCTGTGGTCGCATTTCATGCAGCTGGGCTTTTGCTGTTCGTGATGCTATTAATTAATAAAAGTAGGTAGAATTTTTTTCTTCTCTTCAGTGAGCAAATATTAAATCTACTTACATATTGATGTGGATGCTTAGGGTAAGAAAACCCAAGCAATTTTCTTTGAAGAGAATTGCAGTTTTAAGAGACAGCTTGTTTGAAAACAGGACACATTTAATAGCATTTGTATAATGTATTTCAAAATGTACACAACCAGTGTCAGCTACCCACTTTAGTGCCTGTCAGGTGAAGCCAACCTAGCAGGTTTAATTTGTCTAAAACATCAGGTAAGATGACTTATAAGGCATTTGTTCTTCTCTGAAGAAGTAAATGGAAACTGAGCATTGCCAGTATTATTCCCTTCTTTGTAACAAAAAAGTCAGTTGCAGTGGTACTCCCTCATGAGTTGTGCTATGAACAGAGTAAAAGTTATCATTTTATGCCGTGTTTGCATGTATTTTGTACAGCTCTCACATTAGCTCAGCTACCTGACATGATGTTGCTGTCAAGTGCTTTTCAGTCAGATACTCAAGTACTTGCTGCTTGCATAAGGTGTTTTGGTGTTTGCTTCCTTTTGTTTTTGAGTTTGGACATTAATATAAAAGCAGGAGGTAGTTTCTTTCTTCTGCTTGTTAGATCATGGAGATCTGATGCCAGCAGGTTCTGCTGAAGTTGATCTCGTGTTGGGAGACTTTATCACTATTGACTAGATGAGCATTGAATGCTGATAGGATACAGTGTAGGTGGTAAAGGAACTTCTGTTATTCAAGTCTTTTTTTCTCTTAAAGAAGAAAAGTAATAGGACAGAGGAGGGAAATGCAGCAAGGGCATTGCCTATTAAATAGGTATTCTTCCTGTCAATTCCCTTTAATTTTAAATTGCTAGGAATGTTTTAGAGTAGAACCATCAAATTTTTAGCAGATTGTGTAAATGATCAACTAAACATAGCTGTATGCAAAGTATGAAAAATACTTTTAAAAATCACATGAAGATTTACCCCAACTCAAACTAAAATAGCAAACTATGAAATAGAAACTCTAATCTTAAATTCATCATAAGGTTAGCCGAAAACAATGAAATATGTGGACAAGTGAAGAATCTAGTCATAGATTATTCTGACAAAATTGTAAAATAGTCCAGTATTGGTAACACACATGTAATATTAAAACGTTATGCACCTTTATGTCAGGGTTAACCTGGCTTAATGTTTTAATATTAATATAAAAATATTAATGTTTTAATATTAAGCCAGGTTAACCCTGACATAAAGGTGCATAAATTAATTTGTCAGCCAAATTGTACCAGAAAAGAATCAGACTTTGAGACACTTAATGGCACAATAAGGATTAAATTATAATCAAAGAGCCTAATATAGCAAGAATGCAAGTCTCGCAGCATGTGACCCCTGTTGCAGTGCAGAGGTTCTTTGTAGCCCTTCTCTGGTGCTGCAGTAGCTAGCTGATAGTGGGCTGGGAAGTCTCTCCAGGCTGGTCATGTAACTCGCTCCTGCATGAAAGTTTTTCGTGTCTCTCTCATGAGACAGAATCTGATTATTTTGGTTTTGATATGATAAATTTCTGGGGCTAGACCTTGAAGTGAAAACAGAGGTAAGCAAAGCATGGCATCTTCTGCATTGCATAGATTGCAAACCCATCAGCAGGACACACCAACAGCCTTTTCTAGCCTGCAAGCCTCATCTAAACTTTGTGTCTCCTTAGCTGTTTTCACCATTTGTGTCCTGTGAGTTAAGCCCTCTTGGTTGCCAAAAGACTCTCTCTTCCCCTTCTCAGTGATTTGAAGTAGCCCTGAATATAAGAAGGAGAACAAGGGGTGTAATGGAGCCAGAGCAAAACTGCTGCTTGCTGCTCTTGTCACAAAGAGGGAAGGAAACTTGCTTCTCCCAGCTCTTGACATCTAAAAGCTACTTATTCAGCCAAAGGCTGCACCTGGTGGCCAGTGCAGGGAGAGGGACGCTGTGAGGCAGTGTCCCCTTTGGCATGGTAGAAATTCTCACGTGTGTCAGGAGATGTGTGACTCTTTCTATGAAAGAGTAGTGGGAACCTAAATAGCTGGTCTGTGTGAGCTCTAAAATCAATTTCTCTACAAGATTAATGTGTAAGTAAAAAAACATTGGGAGGATCAAGCTTTTGGAGAAAGAATGTTAGTATCATAATGTGTTGCAGAGAGGAGTGTGCCTGTGTCTTTGCGTGCTCTTACCCTGTGATGTGTGAGAAGTGGCTCATCTCATGCTGAAAATGATGTGGTGTAAATTCACCTGACATAACCTCATATTTTTATCTCCTTTTTTTTTTTTTTTTCATTTTAACCATACAGAATGCCCCAATCAGTTTCAGGGTAATTTATTGTTTTAAATTAAACTTCGAGCTGGATGTTTGTGATATTAAAACTTTGGTCACGACTAAATGAAAATGCCATCTGATTCTGATGCAGTGTGGTTAGAAAGCTGTCCTGTCTCTAGTAGGATTGCAGAGGAGGCATCATCTCACTCTCTCCCATCATCATCACTCCAGATTTATTGTACTAAGCTCCATACAGCATGTGAAGAACATCATGCAGGAGCTAGTATAGGAGCAACATAGAAAGATTTTCTTCTGGGACAGATGGCTTGACATCCTGTGTCTCACTTATTAAAATTTTATCCCAGAATGTATCAGATGTGACATTTTAAGCCAGAGTCCAAAGCAGTCTCCTACAGTTGGATGTTAGTTCCTCTAATAAGTGTATTTGTGTTTACTAACACCCCCTTCCTCTTCGACAGGATGACTTGCTGTCCTTGAAGGTTGTCAGTGTCCTCCACCACCTCAGCATCAAAAGGGCCATCCAAGTTCTGAGAATAAATAACTTTGAACCTAACTGTCTGCGCAGGAGGCCATCAGATGAGGTACTGCTTGAAGACAGAACTGTGAAGAAGAATCCTCTAGTTTTTTTCTGAGAGTTTGTGATTATTCCTTCTTTGCCCTCTCCTCCTTTATTGGTTGTCTTCTATTTCATTTTGTTTCATTTTTTGTTTCCTCTTTCTTATTTTGTTCCCAAGTTTCATGCCCTGCTGTAATTACCTGGAATACCACTTCTTTCTTCCACAGGCCATTGTCCTAGAGTAAATCTCTGCCAAATTTCCCATTCCTCTTCCTAGTTGAGAACTGGCTCTTTTGCCTTTAATATGTTTCAGTAACAGAAGTCATCTTAAACTTAGTGCACAGTTACTGTGAGGCTTATGTAATTGTGAAGTCTATGGCCGTGTCAGAATTTCCTCTGTAAAAGAAATTTGGTACTCTTATCAGATGGGAAACTGGTATCTGTTTTGGAAGCAGTGTACACTGACTAGGGCAATGGATGATGAACCAACTCAGAGTCTTGGGTTTAGATATGTGATGCCTATCTGCACCATGTGGAGATAGCTAGTTTTCAGCTGCACTGGTAGAAATTGCAACTATTCTTAGTACACAGGAAGATATTCAAACTGCATGAAGTATGATACAGACCTGCCCACTCAACTCACAGACACAGCTCATGTTATTTGGCACAACTTCCTACAAACAGAGCAAGAAAGATGATCACTTCTCAGTAGGATAAACACAAGTTAATCACTGCTATGATCAGCTCTAGGCTTAGATTATTAGAAAGATAAAACATTTCATGTTGTGAATGAACCACAGTTGAAACTGGCTGATTTCAAACCATACTGCATTGCTGGAAGGCTTTAGACTCTTCTTGTTATGGCTAGAAAAGCATCAGAAAGGTAGCTTCATATCAGTGTCCCCATCACCTAGACTTGTCAGTATCTTAACTCTGAGTTGAAGAAGCAGCTTAAGAAACTCAGGAGAGCTCAGCATATTTTGAACCCTTTGCAATACAGAGGTAAAATATTTCTGATGAAATTTCAGTTTATATCTGCTTTGAAATCTTGCAGTACTTGGGGAATGTGTGGGGTTCGGTCCAGACCCATCTCTGCTTTGACATTGCTGCAAGATAGTAATCCAAAAAGAGTGGAAGCTTTTTCTCAAGTGCAAGGTGGGCTTGTGTGCATTAAAGACAGGAGAGGTTTATTTCAGTAAAGGTTAGGCTGCGACAGCTGTGTTGGGAAGTCTCCTTAACTGCCTGTTTCTCCTGTTCATAGAGTAGTGTCACACCTTCTGAAGTCACCCAGTGGACCAATCATCGTGTGATGGAGTGGTTACGCTCTGTTGATCTGGCAGAGTATGCACCTAATCTGCGGGGGAGTGGTGTGCATGGGGGACTGATGGTAAGGTTTTAGGCAGGCAGGCATTTATTCTGTTTTATATAAAAAGACAACCAAACAAACAAACGAAAAACCACTACCACTGAGAATTGCTAGAGCAAAGTTCTGATATCTTTGCTGCAGCCACTCTTATTTTTTCTTCTGTTTCTGGTTAATAATAAGTTGCTGTCAAAATTCATTACCTTATATTTTTAAAAAACATGAATGTCTTGGGCGAAATTAGTTTGGAAAGCGATGAGTTTGTTTACCTGTATCCCCCTCACAATTTGATGGTGTTCTCCACTTTCCACCATCTTCCTTCCTAGACCTGAGTATGTTTTTCTTTTGTGAGGGGGGTTTAATTCTTTCATACAATCTGTAATTTCAGTGTCAAACCAGCATTGCTTTTAGTTGCTCTAGCATGAGATGCTCCAGGCTAAAGGCTTATACTTGTAGAAGCTTGTTCTGATCGAGAGGTATATCCTTTCTCCAGACATTTTATGTCTGTTTATTCTCCATCATTCCTTTGACTGCATTTTCCAGCATTAAAGAAGATGGTGAATAAACATTTTGCGATAGCTCCACATAAGCTAAGGGTGGATTTATGTGTTCTTACCTGCCAGTTTGTTTCAATATAGCTCGAGAAAGCAAGTCTGGAGATAGCATTTTATGAATCCTTTAACTAGTTATCTCTTTTTGCTTCCTCTTTATTGTATATTTTCTCAAAAATAAAAACATCTCAAAGCAACCTTAGGAGGTGACGAAGACAGGTGTGCCTCTTGATGTCCTTGAGACCTCATCAGACAGTACTGGCTTCAGCTGTATTCTCTGTGGTTTGGTTAAAAGGTTTTGGAGCCACGTTTCAATGTAGAAACCATGGCGCAATTGCTAAACATCCCACCAAACAAGACACTGTTGCGACGGCACTTGGCGACTCATTTCAACCTCCTCATTGGGCAGGATGCCCAGCAGAAGAAACGTGAAGCCATGGAGTCCCCAGACTATGTCCTCTTAACAGCAACTGCCAAAGTAAAGGTAGGCCACTTGTTCTGGGTCCATGTATGAGCTTCCAGGCAGACGTTTAGATATCCAGTTTTACCTGTTCTTGGAGCACAGTTCAGTAAGGTCTGAGAAAAGGGGCTGGCTGCTAATGAAAAAAACACACATTAAACACATGAGGGAACACATCTTGTTCTTTTGGATGCAGTTATCAGGAAATGCAGCTATTCAGAAAGTCGTTGTTAGGAGAGCAGGGGGTCTTAACCCTTCATCATCTGCTTACATTGATTGAAACACCAAATGCAGAGAGATCTGTTAATTCTTTGTTTACTTGTCAACTTTCTCTTCACTTGTAAGCCAAAGAAACTTGCCTTCAGTAGTTTTGGAAGCCTGAGGAAGAAAAAGCAAGATGATGTGGAAGAGTATGTGTGTCCTATGGAACTGGGGAGGGCTTCTGGAAGTGGGTCAAAGAAGGGTTTTAAGCCTGGCCTGGATATCCGAGTGTATGATGACGACGATTTGGACAGACTGGAGCAGGTAAAACAGTTTAAAATCCTTGGCTCTGCTGTCAGGTTTGGTGGAAAACCTCCTTTTCATGGTGAAACCTTTCCTTTGCTTTGGCCTGAGAAGGTCCTCACTTCTTAGAGTCACACAGCACCACTAGCAAACATAACAAACATTCCTCTCGGCACAGGAAGACACAAGCTGTGAATGCAATACCTGTAAGACCCTCTCTTGCATATTGTGTGGCCCTCATGGGCCACACTCTTTCCTTGCTCTGACCAGGTTGGGTGTAATCAAGCATTTACATTGTCTGCTGTACTTAATTGCCATTCTGTTGTGGCATACAGTGAATTTATTATTCATTCATTATTCATTATCTGTTTTTTGCAGATGGAAGATTCAGAAGGGACAGTGAGGCAAATAGGAGCATTTTCTGAAGGCATCAACAACTTAACAGTAAGGCGTAAAACTTGTGTCTGTAGAATAAGGTTCCTTTTCTGTACAATGGACCTAAGACTTTTGCCAGTCTCTAGCATTAAATAGCAGTGCTGAGTTATCTACAAACATACTTAAGTGCAAATTTTCATCACTATTAGCAGCTCTGTCAAGCAGCTTAGTTTTGTGTTTTGGGGAGCAATTGCTTTGCTAGATATCGGTGCTTTTAGTGAGAGATAGTGTTTGGATGGGGTGAAACACCTCAGTCTGAGAACTGAAGTATGTAAAATACTGTGCAAACAACAGATACAGTGAAGCCTCATCAGAAATGGAATCAGCCCAGCCCCAGCCTGCATTTCCCAAGCCATTTGTGCCAGCAGAAATGGAGCTGGGCCATGGGGTAAAAAAAAAAAAAATAAATCTGTTCCTCACAGTTTGTTTTGTAGATGAGTTGTTTTTCAGCTGGCTCTGTCCCCCCAGGGGTTCCCCAGAAATCAATGGGAGTGGGTCTGGAGAGGAAGAGTGATAGGATGCCTTGCCTGTTAGTGTTGTTTGCTGCCAGCCATGAGACTGGACTGTCCTCAGTACTTGATATTAATTGGGAGGGCCTGAACCTTGACTCTTTTCTCATTTCCTTTCTAGCACATGTTAAAAGAAGATGAAATGTTTAAAGACTTTGCGACTCGCTCTCCTAGCACCAGTATAACAGATGAGGACTCTAACGTGTGACAGTAACCACTAGGCACTGATGAAGGCTCAGCTCACTTTCCTATGTACAAGAAACAGCATTACACATGATGGGCAGCAAATCATGTACATTACATTGCCCTTTCTTCTGTTTGTTAGAAGTAATACTGGGAGGCGGTGAATTTTAAAAAAAAAAAAAAGGTGCCTACTCTAAAGTTGCCATAAGAAATACCCAGACACTAGTGAATGGTAATTGGTTTTTTACTGTATTTAATATACAAACTGGTGGTATCTTTCAGAGTGTTGCATTTAAATTTACATGGTATCATAGTGTTCCTTTTGCTTATTCTTGTCCTGAGATAATCCTTTATATTGTTTCAGAATAGATGTGTCTGTAGATGTTGATCAGCTTTCTCTAGGTTTTCAGTTGAAACAAGATGTTATTGCTATCAGCACAAATACTAGTTCTGCCCTTCCCATGATATCAAATGTAGGATTTTAGTCATCCATGCCCTCCCCTGTAGCTCTTAATTGTTGCTTTTATTTTTATACTGTTTTATAAAAAAAAAAAAAAAAAAGAATATATGAAGTACATGTAAAAACAGAAATTTAAATTTTGTGAAATAGAGTGATGGAAAGCTTGAGGTGTGGGGGAAGGGGAGGGGTTTGTAAAAGATTATCGCAGTTTGTATACCAGCTGGTTACTGGAAAAGGCAGGCTGGCCTTTGGAACTGTTTGCTTTTTTTGCTTTTTCTAAGTGCACAGTATAATGATCTTCCATTTGGGATGAAACAGTTATAAAGCATGTTTTTATTGGCAGTGACTCTTATGGAAACTGCAAATTCAAAACGTCTTCTTCCGTGTTCCTTGCAGCAATAGTTATAGCATTCAAGAAAGTTATTAATGTTTCTGTGACTTAAAAATATTCTGGAGAGTTTTCCTTCAAGCTGAGAGTACTCCCTGCATATGGAAGGGATATTTCTGTGCTGTAACTAACATAAAGATGGTGTAATTGCAAAAAATCAAAAATAAAATATATAGAGAGAGAAATGTATAGGAAGTATATTATTTCATAATATTAAAGCCAAGGTGGGAATTTCCCTCAAAAATACAGATATCAAACATGTTGCATATCATTTTACCTTCTTAAAACATAACTCTTTTGCCTTGAAGATGATCAGATTTTAGTAAGTCTAACTAGCCAGTAGAATTTTTTTTGTCAGAATTTTTCTGTATTGCAAGATGTCCTAGCCAAAAGCCAAAAAAAGTAACTGTTTATTACAGTAGTTGTTTATACGGTGTTGAATGTTGCATGTATTTTAGCACAATGGAATGAAATTTCTTTGCTTTGTAAAGGAAAAAAATACAGTTAGAATTGCTCCTTGCAGTGGTATTTGGCTTTTATAAGAGTTGTCACTTCCGGCAAGGGTAGTAATGAAACCATTTCTGACATGCTGCTTGTGTTGTATAATGGAGTTTAGATTTTGGCTGATTTTGTGGGTGTTTCTGAAACACCATTACAAAAGTTAGGAAGGGAAGGAAGGTTCTTCACTGAGCTCTGCTTATAGCTTATAATCTATTACAAGTCTTTTTTTTTTTCTTTTTTTTTTCTTTTTTTTTTTTTTAAGGATGTGCAGTGAAGGCTATTTATGTGCAAAGAAAATGAAAAATTTGATGTGGACCAGTTGTGTTGTATATGATATCAAGTGCTGCCATTCTCACTTTACTAACTGGAGCCAGGCAAACAATCTGTAATTATTCATATTCAGTTTGTGCCACTTACCATTTCTCTACAGACAGACTACAACACTGGTGCTTTATCCAAAATTCCTGACTAAGTAACATCCACAAATAATTTGCTGTCTGTTGTTTCTTCCTCTGCTGTCTTGGGGGTGTTTGAGCTATTTTAATTAGGCAGAAATACCACATTCTGTAATGCCTGCTTCCAGCTTTCAGGTGCAAATACTCAGATGTGGATTCAGGGCTTGCTTTCTGTGAATAATTTGCAATATGGTAATTATTTACATGTAAGTTGGGCTCAAGACCCTGCTCTTACCAGTAGAGACGCACTGGGAGGACATAGCACAGGCTTCTGAGCAACAGTATTCCTCTAATTTCACTCCTTTAGCAGGCTGTGACTAGTGGACATAATGGCTGGATATTCACAGGAAAAAAAAAGGGCTAGTGACACAATATTATGTGCTGAAACAGGTATAAGCAAATACTCTCAAATTTCTTTTCAGTTCAGTGCTATTAACAAACATACTGGCAGCAGCAGATGATCATTTGTTTTTAAGTCCAGTGTAAGTAAAATTCTGCTCCGAACAACCCATTTCAGCATCTACTGGTTGGAAAATTGGTTGTCCCTTCAAAGCAGCCTATCATCTGAACCGTGATTATTTTATGGGGGTCTAATATGAAAGCAAGGGATGACCTCAGGAAGTTTATGGGTGCATGTGCACAAAATTGATAACATTGTGGTATTTTGTGCATTTTTGAAGAGGGCAACATTACTACTGTGTATTGCCATGTAAGATCCAATAAAATCTGTGGAAAATGCCAAGTGTTTGTGTTTGTTTTAAATATGTATCCATATTTTTTTTAATTTCCTAGGAAGCTATTTTGTTCTATTTAAAAGATGAGGGAGAGGGGGCAAACAAAATTAGAGTCTTTGTGGACTCGTTAGTTCACATTAGTGCCTGCAGAAAGAGTCAGATAACAGCAAAGAAATGCACTGTCCTAGGTCTTTTTATACTGATTTCTGAGATCCAGATTTGAATCACTTGGGTTATTTGGCACAGTGTGATGAGAAAGCGTCTCTGTTGATTGTCATCTGGTGCAAAAGCACCAGCTCTGGCCATTCCCACTGCAGAGAACAAGCATCTCTCTAGTCCCAGGTGTTGTCCCCTACGCATGTATTTGCAGCCTTCAGCAGGCATAGGAGCTCCAGCTGTTTTCCCCAGACCACAGTGTGCTGCTGGGATGCAGGTACAAATGTCGATAAATGTTTTGCCTGGTGTGGCCAGATAACAGAGCAGAAAATGCAGAACCCCTCCCTGTCTTTTGACTATCATTTCTGTGGTTTTGTTTGACAGATCAACATTTCTGTGTTAACAATGAGGATAAACACTTTGAAATCTAGAGCACAATATGCATTTGTTGTTACAGTGATGTGGAAAATAGAAGATGCATACTACTTGAGAGCTTTATGCTTTCCTTGAGCGTTCTGATGTTTTACTTTGTAGCAAGAGCTTTACCTGGTGAGTCCTTTTATCTTCTTCCTCCCAACTGAGGATAGCACTCTGTGAGGTAGCTGTGAAAATTAAAGCAAAACCTGAGTTGCCAGTAGATTTGGAGCAGAGGTCAGCAAGGAGAGTGTGTTAGGTGCTGGGGAATCCCTCTGTAGAAAGGAAGAGAACTCAAGATTTAGGGTCAGAGATAACAAGAGAAGCAGTAGTGAACACCTACTGATGGCTGTTAGTTATGAAGGAGTGGAGACAGGCCCATGACAAATATGAAGACCCTGTAAGAGAAGAAAGGTAGTACCTAGGACATGATCTGTTTCTTGGAGAGAGGGACCTGAGGGCAGTGTGACTGACCAGCCCTGCTCCTGAGATGGCGTTTCCCTTGGTGTGGCAGGAGCACAAGAACACCTGTAGGCAGGAGGGGAGAGATCAAATGAAGGAAGTTTTAAGCAATTAGAGAAAAGAAGGCAGAGAGAGAACCTCGTTGCTTTTTTCATTCATTGAGAATGAAGAGGAATAAGACTCAGTAGGACAATGTTTTGTGAGAAGGTTGGTGAGCTTCTGGGCCCATGAGGAGACTGTGACAGTGCATTTGGTGGCAGCAGTAGCTTCTGGAGCTGAACAGGGCTGGTGCCTGCTGCAGCAGTAACATACATTCCAGCTTTTACAATTAGGGAGACTGAATTTTGTAAAGTTAGGAAGCTTGTTTTTTTGTAGTTGTAGCTGTGCATTGACTGTCCAAGCCTCCCTGAGATAATCCAGCAGCAACAGCACAAGCTTCTTAGTTGAGCCAAATGTTCAAATGAGTCCATGTGCATTGTCATAGCACAGTTAATGCCACTGACAGTAACAGCAGTTAATATTGGGATACAGGCAAACATTCCATCAAAATAGACCATGACATCATCTCACGCATCCTGTAGAAGTCTTCAGGTTTGGATACATATTTCTCTCTGGGTGATTAAAGAAACAGCTTGATTCATCTCTAGGAAACACCCAGTGCCAATAAAGAGGCTTCTTTGTAATACTCCTAGAAATGAGATCGAATGAGATAAGATCAGACTGGAACGACATAGGTTTGGTGAAGGAAATGGTGCCAGAATGAACAATAAGGAAAACAAACAGGTGAATTCAGTAGGTGTGGAAGTTACAGGGCCTGCTGGGCCGGTCGCTGCTCAGTGAGCTGTGGAGGAACACGCCCAGAAGAAACCTTTCATGCCCTCCAGGACTGCAGCCTGCCAGGCATGACTTTAATCTAGAAGGTGACAGCTACCCGTTATGTGTACTTAGTAGGTCTGACAGTGCCCAGTGACTACAGAGCCTTTGCTGAAGAAGGAAGGAACTTTCCAGAGGCTGTCTGCATGTGGAAACAATCTTCTTCTGCACAGAAAATGGGCCAGAAAATATCACATGAAGACAACCAGGAGAGCAAGGCCGAAACTCTTGTTATCCGTGAAGTCTTCAGCCAAGGTGTGGTCTATGCATCGCAAAGACTGAAGGACTACCTTGGGTTCACAGATCCTCAGAGCAAATTCCAGACAGCCACAGACACTCTGAACGAGATCTTTCTGGTCAACTTCATCAGCTTCTGTGTGGAAAAGGGAGTGGAGGATCATATCACAACCAGCAAAACGACCAAGCAGCAATCCTTGTTGTTTGGTGTGGACTGGATCTGGACTCTGTTGGGAGTTGACAAGCAAATCAAACTTCAGATTGCTGTGCAGGCTCTGCAGCTGGCCGAACTTTTCCATAGTGAAAGCAGCCCCACCAAGGCACTGGATGACTGCTGCTGGGAAGCCACGCTGGCAGACGAGCATTTCCAAAACAGGAGCAGGTTCGAGAAGCTGGCAGAGTTCTGCCACCTGGTGGGACAGGACTGCCTGGGCTTGTTCATCGTGTTTAGTGTGCCAGGGAAGCCCAAGGACATCCGCGGAGTCATGCTAGACAGCATTGCCAAGGAGAAGCAAAAATGCTGCCTGTTGGGCAGGAATGCTCTAAGGCAATTTGTCATGAGTACTGAGAGCTTCCTGTCCACAAAAGAGATGTTGGAAAAGTGCCTCAGCACAAGAAATGGACTGAAGGAGGTGGGCAATGTGTACGTAAACTTTCTGTAAACCTTGTGTTAGCAGCAGCAGCTCTGAATGCCTGATGCAAAGGCTGTGTGGGCTGAGCTTGCCTCATTTCCCATCTTGCACGCCATTCCTCCACCCCCTTATTTCCCACTTTCCCCCTCTGCCCAGCACATTCCTGTAGATCCTGCAGTAGCCAAAGCTGATTCAGTCTCTCCAGGTTTTAAAACAACAGGACGTACCTGCCAGAAAATGTGTTTATACAAGGCTCATAATTTTGCCAGAACATTTTGTTCTCCAACTGTCAAGTATTGGCTAAGGCTGATGAAAGTTTTATTGCCTGGAGCCTTGGGAGGTCTTATTAGACTTGACTCAGCCTCTGTGCACTATGTCTATAGAGAAGGCAGACTGTTTTTTAAACAGGAGGATGAGTCTGTAATAAAGAAAATGTGTTGTTACTAGTCATAAAAGTTGCAGTGAGTTTGGAGGACAACACGAGGACTTCAAAACACTCTTTTGGAAGAGTGGAGCTGGTTCTCAGTTAGAAGGAGGAGGAAAAGCCCTTCCCTGGGATAGAAATGGGCTATATGAAGAAGCTATTAATCACCTGCCTGTTGGAAGTAAATCAGTGCCTTGCTATGGATTCAGGGACAGGAGCGCCTCAGTGCTGTGAGCCACTGTGAAATGCATGGGCAGGGTTGGTCCCAGCTGCAAATCCTGTTCTTGCTAAGCAGCTGTGTCAGGTCAAGGTGTGGCAAAAGGCAGTGGCAATTGTTAAAGAAAATGTGGGAAAATTAACAAATGGGGACAAAGATCCAGCACTGGGGATGCTGATGGGAGTTTTCGTCTTTCAAAACTGCAGAGGTGAGCTCCTGACCACTCATGGCAGCGAGCAGCAGTCTGGAAGGGGCAGAAGTGCTTTGCTTTGTCTTTGTTTTCAGTATCTTAGCAGCTAATAGTATTTATGTACTGATTTATTCAATTTTCCTCAGGTTTTATTAGACAGCACTTCGGGTTGCACGGTTGTAGTTACTTTCTTTCAGCCACTGTTAACCAGTGAAAGGAAGAATTAATCCAGTTTCAAACTCACAAACCCACTGTGCTTGTAGGCCACTGTGGCACTGTAGTGACCAACTTTTGTATATGGGAGTAGTTTTGTAAGCATCACCCTCCTCTTCATGTGGCTTTCCTTATAATTTAACAGAATAAAAATAATTTCAACAATCTTATTTTTTGCTATTTGATGTTTGAGTTTTAAGATGGGGAAGCTGCAACCTCTAAGAAATAAAGGCTCTTATTTACACAGTCATATAAAAAGAGCATAAAGAAGCTTTGGCAGTAGTGCCAGAAGCTTTCCACAAGGTAAGTCTGAACTGACGCTGAAAAGTGAACTGAAACAAAACCAAACACACAGACATCAGTGAAATTTTTGCTATGTCACAAAGGTAGCTAGGCTGGGGAAGGGAGGCTTTTTAAACTAGCTCATTGAAATACAGTTGCTTTTTATAGAGCTGGCTGCATTGTAATTTTTGTGCATAACAGGGGTTTGATAAGACAGAGAGGATAATTCTGGTATTATATTAGATTTTACAAAGAAAATGTGCATAGTTACAGGGCTGTGCAGTGAGAGCAAGGTCTAGGACCATTCAGGATGGTTTCTGGTTTTGTGTGTTTAAATTAACAGCATGAGCAGTACTGTAGCTGGATTGATTGTTTTATAAAAGGCCAGCAGAAAAGCTTTATTTTTGCTTTAAATTATGTTGCAGCTTGTGGTTTTTAGGGCATTGTCTTGTAATAAAATCAGTTCCATAGGAATGCTGTCTTGGCAAACATTGTGTTTTCTTCCTTTGGATGTTTTGCATACCTTTTTGGAGTTGGAAAAGGAAAATAAATCCAAATGATTTGCATGTATAGATTTTGAACTATGAAAATTAGACACTGAGGCAGTTGACCATTTAATTTGACTCCTCCAGAGGTGCTCTGGTACCTCAAGTAAGCAAGACTCAGGTAAGTCTTGAGGTACCAGAGCTGCTTAAGCTGCCTTGATACTTATTCTGGGATCCAGGTTAGATTTTCCAGGGTGTGCCACAGCTTTCACCTGGTTGCCTCATGGGTTGCAGCTCAGGAGCCTGGCCCCTCAGCAATGGTGGGAATTTGCCAAGAATCTGTGCTGTGGATAATAAAGGTGAGGACAAACAACAGAGTATTTAATGATGTAAATTTGACTTTGTTCATTTATTTAGCCAGGCTGAACTGGTGACTCAGTCATACCTCAGGCTTTTCTAACAGTGTACATTTTTACTGGGTAAGTTGCTGACCTCAGTCTAATCCAAAGGTAATTAGGTAATTTGTGTTTGTTGTTGTTGTTTGTTTTTTAATAGTGAGTAGAAGCAAAGTTTAGGGGGTTGGTTTGTTTGTTCTTCACTTTGCCATCATTTTCATTGTATAGCTTGGTTAATGCATGAAACTCATGAGGATGAGCTCAAGAGCTCACAAAAGCGTAGATAGAGAAGAGAGGCTTCTGCCAAAACAGGAAACATGCAGCACCTGCTGCTGTTGGCCAGTTAGTTTCACCAGGTAGTTCTTCAGATCAAAAAGCATCAGAAAACCTTACCCTACCCCTTCTTAATTTAAGAAACTTTAAATTAAGAAAGCTGACTAGCATTTCTCTATCAAATTATGCAGACAAATGCTTGTCTTTTTCCAGCTGGATCAATTACTAACACTGTTGTGTTGTGGCTTCATAACAGAAGTGGACTATCCCATCATGTGTGCCCACACATACACAGCAGCATTGCATTGGCGTCTGTAACTGTACCGCCACTGTGCACAACTGCAGTACATGTAACACCATGCCAGTTGCTGGATACGGAACAGGACCCTACTTGCAAGTTTCCAGCTGTTTCACACAGTTGTTCAGGAAATGTGAAAACATTCTTTTTACCTCCCATCACAAGCCACTGACTCCCTGCTGTAGCGATGTTTTGCCTCTGCTGCTGTGAGGACTAGTTTCTGCAGTCAGCAGGAGCCTCTCAGACTGTAGGCAGGGAGCCAGATGAGGCATCTCCTCTCCACAGCGCCTGGCTGCAGCTGCCCCTCAGTTTCAGTACCCCAAGCCCTTTTTCAGCTGCTTCTGCCTCCCCGAAGAGGATGTGGTTCTGGTAGCTCTTGCCTCTTTCCCCTCCAGTAAGGGCATACCTGGAAGATGCACAGAGCTGCCCTGGTCCACTTGGGAACTGGGTGAAACCCTCCAGGACCAGCCTGCTCTCACACCTGGCCACAGCAAGCTGTCTAATAACATCCACCACACTATTTTCTGTAAGACAGACAGATGAATTGGCTCAAATAATCAAAAAAGATGCAAACCCAACTTTTATTACTTGTTTAAATGTTACAATACAGGACCATCAAGCAAAAGGGATTGGGACACCGTTTTGTTTCAGTGGATCATATAAAAAATCCCTCATTTTTTCTATTAAAAGAGATCCATGTTCACACAGATGTATAAAGTAAAGATAAAACTAAGAGATTGGGGTGAAAAACAGCAATAGTTTGCTCCTTGATTCGGTATCTGAATACAGCAGTTTTCACAGGCCCCCTCTCACCCCCCTCCCTTTTTTTTTTTTTTGAACATTCACTCCCTGGAGTGTTCTACATGTTTTTCTCTTACGAGGCTGAAGATGATGTGCTGTGTAACACGAGTCACTTGCAAAATTATTTCATACATAGATGTGAAAAAGCCAGTACTTCGATAAACAAGGTAATACAAAACATTGATGCGTTACCAACTAACTATTTTGGATATGAAAACTTCATTAAATACAGTCATAAAAAAAAAAAAATTTCTTTATCCCCTAATGATACAACCCAGCAACCAAGATAACTTCTCTCAAATATCTGCTTTTTGCCTCACAATAAAATGGACTGAAACTTACTTGAGCATTATTTGAACTCCACAGCATAGTATTAAAGAATAAGTTTTAGAAGCACACATCAAAAATTCAAGATTTCAGAGGCAAGTGTAAATTCAATAAAATAAATTTAATAATAGTATTATCTGCCTCAGGTTCCTTAAATTAACTGTGCAATATCTTTTTTTCCTTCTAATTCGTGCTGAGAAACCTTTTAAATGCATGGTACACATCTGTTGTACAGGCACAAAAGAAAGCACGGCAAGTTATAGCTTCAACTACCTACCCAAATCTTTTAAAAAAGAGAGATATTTATTATACACTGATACTTGTAGCTAACTAGCATCCACATTACTTCACATACCCCTAGACATCTTTTCAATCACTCTGATTTTATCACCAGAAATCAATTTTTAGTTACACAGATTCCTTGCAGGGACTGCTCTATCTCTAATGTCAGTAGCATCTGTTTGGAAGCATAAGGTTCAGTATGCAAGATGCATCAAGTTTACTAAAGGTTAGGTAAAAAGTTGCTGTAAAAAAATTACATTTAAAAAAATAAACTGTAGCATCCAAGAACAGTTTAGATTCAGTGAGACATTTCTATATGCTGTCAGTTTGGTGACTTAAGGCTGTTCCATGCAATCCTTAGCAACCCTTTGTGGTTTTGCCAGAGCAAGATATGCAGGTGAGTCTCCTGACTGTAGGCATACTGCATGTGAAGCAGGGATACCTGCTGGAACCCACCTGAGTGGTGAAACCTGAGCTCCCTTCATTCCTAATCAGACTCCAGGAAACAAGAAACAGAATCTGGATCTAATTTTCACCCAGCGTTTTTTCACTGCACAGAACCTGCAGAACAACTGTTTTTCTACTCTTATGACACTGTCTGCTATTCAAAAGTAAATACAAATGTTAGTTAGTATTTTTTTTCAGTATTCAACACATGTATAAGCAAAGATTTCCAGCTACTTGTAGAACTGCGTGTAAAGCCTCCTGCTTTCCATAGTTTCCTGCATTGCCCAAGGATGTGACGAGCTGGAAAAGTGTTTACATTGAAGAAAGGCTATTTCAAAATACACTGGAACAGATTTCGTATTTGTGTCTACTCTTGTTTTGGTTAACGAGGCAACTTGGACAACTTCAGTCAGTCATAAATGGTTAATTGTCACCCTTCAAATGAACAAGAATCTTTAAGCTTCTGGTGTTGCAAAGGTTATACGTACAAGGCAAATGCTCCTGGCCCTCATATAGTAAAAGCTCTGTAAGGATTAAAGTTTGGCATAAGCAAGGTCAATAATCCAGCTCATTCTATATATTTCATACTTCATACCAAATAAAATACTGGGTATGCACAGTGTTAGGAAACAGGATATTACTTGCATTTGATTACAGTGCTAAGAGAAGTGTAAACAAGTATTTGCCACCCTAAGAAGTTATACTTTCCTGCGTTGAGATGGAGTATATTTCTACAGGACAGACATGGCAAATACAATACATCGCTATGTCTCTGCAATACATTTGTTTCTGTGCAACATACAGTATGGTTATGATACAGTTAAGCTTAAGTGTCTAACTTGCCAGAGATTCAGATAAATGTTAATTATTTTTAATGTAAATGTAGCTTCCCAGCACTGTTTATCACCCACCTCTCTTGTCTTGTTCCCCATAAAATGTATTTTCTTCCTTTCCTTACAAGATCGCTGAGGTATCAGTCTTCTTTAGAAAGAGAACCTCATGTCCTTGGTGTAGCCCAGTTTGTCCAAGTTGGGAATGCAGGCATACTGGATCATTGGTGGAGGTCCACACATGAGGATCAGAACATCATTTTGAGGTGGGGGCAGGTGGTCTCTGATCATATTTTGGCTCACAAATCCTTGGCTGTATTCCCAATCTGTTAAAAAAAATGAAGGGGGGGGGGAATGAACAAATCACTTTATAATAAAAGTGTGTGCTTTTTTTTTTTTTTTTAATTGGACCTATTCTATATGGAAAATCTGCCACTCCTGCTTTTAAGATGGAAAACTGATGCATGGAGAAAACAGGCTAACTTTTAGTAAAACTTCCTAAAAGCCCCCAGGAAATACCAAGCAGAGCTGTGAAAAAATAACATCTATTCTCCTTATGCCACCAATTTATATCTTCATTAGAAGAACTCTAGCTGATGTTATTCCCAGTAGGAACACTCATTGTGCTAATCAGTTAATAATAGGGTTCACATTTACCCATCATATCCCCAGCTCTGGGATAAAAACGCTGCTGACCCAAACCTTTAGGCACAATAAAATTGAGACATTTTTCTCCCACAGCCCATCCAAAAATATCCAGTTCAGGTCTGTTTACAGGCATGGTAGTGGAATTCTGTAGAACAGTGTTGAGGTCTAAGAAGGATCTTTCATCACAACTGCTAAGATCAGTTCACAATTCACAAATACCAAAGAGAAGGAACAACAATTTTATCTGAATCTAAGTTGCCTTAGAAATTCAGGGAGAACACTAATTGAAGAAGATTGCATGACAGCAACAGACTCGGGACAGTAAAACCCTCCCCACAATTCTATGGGAGGTATATTCTTGGTCACAAGGTAAGAAAGCCTGTGGCTTTTCCCTCTCTGCTCCAAACTACCACTGACTAGGGGCATGAATCTACCCTGATGTGACATGAAAACCTTAGGCAATAACTCTTCAGGCTTTTCTTCCTTCAACTTGCACAGCTGAGGGAGACACATTTAGCTAGCTCATCTCTCACCTACGGCACCCAACCAGATCACATTACCTTTAAAATTGGACTGCACCAAGATGAAACCACATTGTCTTTGAGAATCACTGTTAATACAAAGGCAAATCCACTGCCTAGAAAGAGCAGCTAGTGCAAACTGTCATGTGACAGCTAGGTATGAGCCTGTATTCAGCCACACCTTAGTGAGATGCAATGCCTCTACCAGTCCTCTCACAGCTGCCTTAATGAATGCTCTGAACGTGAGACAATATGGTGCCATCTTATAGTTATGGCTAAGGGGAAGGAGAAAGGAAGGTCACCTTGGATCAGTAAATAATGGCTAATATTCAAGTCTAGTCATGGGAGGAACATTACACTACCATTCACTTGAGGTGAACTTCATAGCTTTGGAAACACAATACCTCAAGCCTGTGTGCATCACTACGTGAGG